CTTGGATAGCCACATGCATGTGGTTGACTTTAGGCTCTGTGTGTATAATGTATCAACCAGCAAATTCCATCAGTTACTTATGAATAAATTTCACACAATATATTCACTTACAGTCTAAAATAAATATTCATTATGAAAAGTTTTATAATTCAACCACAGCCTCTCCCCTTACTTTCATTAGCCACAAAGCAGAGTTATGCCTGAAATTCAGCTATGTGATCCATTAAGCTGTAGCTGGAAAAAAAAAAAGAGCTCAAAGCACAACAAGCACATAGCCAACCTATATTAACAAGCTTTATTAAGGAATCATTCTGGCAGACTGCACAAGTCTCCCCTAAAGGTAATCACTAAATATATTTAAACATGCATTTAAAACACTTCCCCCCTTCTAGCACTAGACATTATTGGGTTTTTAGTTCCTGTACCATGGTTAACCTGATGTGTCAGTGTTCGAATCTACATGACCAGACCTGTTCCTTGTGTGTATGTTCCAGATGTACAACACGAACTTTATCGGTCAAAAATACCTACGTGAACACTGGCGTATGTATCAGCTATGTGGAGGTATTATCACTGATTCTAAAACAATGAATAACTTTAGATTTATACGAGATCTTCACAACAACTTTCATGTTGCATATCAGTTAACCCAAGTAACCTTCAAAATGAGAAGGGGACAATTATGATATGTCATGTGTTGATTATCCTCACATCTACACAATCACAATTCTATTTACTTTTTTATCCTCCATGCTGTAAGGAGTTATCACTCATTTTATACTTACTTGCAGCACAACCTTGAGTATTACAGATTAAGTAAAAACTGTCCTAAAATCTTTTCAGCAAGACTAAGAATTAATCGTAATCCCATTTGAAAAATCTATGTTAACGAGACTTTCTATCCCAGAGTTGTGTGAATGCCAATTCAAATTAAAAGTAATAATTACGGAATCAGTTATGACATGTTTATCCATAAATACAAGTTAAAGAAATATTCCTCCTTAATAATGTAAACAAAATTCCCATACTTTCTTTCTCTCCAATTACTTGCATTTGAATACAAACATAAGGCCAAATATTCATTTGGTTACACCAAGAAGAGAAGCATAGGAAATAACTAAGCCTAGATATGGTTTTTCTCTCCAGTTCCTTAACAAGAAACATTCCTGATACTCAAGCTGTGCTGCAATATCATGTGGAGTGTTTAGGGATGTGTGCTTATATATTGAGTTAGAGATTAAGTATCTGAGCAATCCTTAAGTCATCTCACTATTCAACCACCAAGTGCTTTGCATCCATAGCTATAAAGGCAAAGATGTACTATGGTAGCAGCAGCAGTCCGGCCGACCCTGGGCAACTCACCCCTCGGTACACATTGCCATGGAACATCCACGCTGCAGATTCTTTACTAATGGCCAAATAAGGTGGGATAGAGATTGACTTTCTTAGCTGAAATCATAAGAATATAATGAAGAGGATCTGATTACACACATAAAAGCCAAAATTAAAAACAGTGAAAGGTGAGACTTGAAGAATAAATGTCATTCCTCTACTTGCATGTACAGTGCAGAATATTGTTTGTCTCTAGATAGAAGGCAGTTTATCCACCCTAAAGTAAAGCAAAATAGGATATTGTTAATTGGGATATTTTTATTAACTGCAATACAAAGACAAACAAGATTTAAATTGTTGAATATCACACCTTGCAGAAAAGAAAAGCTCAAATGATATTTTTCATCAAAATAAGAAGTGCCCACATGCTGGGAAGAACAGAAAAGCTTAGTTACAATTCTTGACACCAGCTTTGCTTTGCTAGTCCCCCTAATAAATGTGATTAACAAACTTATAATTTGAGTCTATGCTTTATTACTATCTATAAAAAGTGACTAATATATACAGAACTTGAAACCTGTCAAAATATCAACTATATACAATACAGTATTGTGTATAGTGTGTTGGGTTGTTGAGGCTTGGTTGGCTCAGCTGGGGGTGCATCATGTTGTGTGTCCGGTTGCGGCTCTTCGTCGTTACTTGCACGCCACAGCCTCCGTGTCAGAGGAAGCGCTTTGGGTTGACCCGGGTTTCCTTTTTTCCCTGTTCCAAAGCATGGGTCTCCTAGGTCGTCCACAGGATTATTCAGTCCAGCCAATCTGCGGTCTATCCCCCTACCCAAGACAATCGTAAGTTCGCGGCTTTGGCTACTGTCTTTGGTAATATGTCCTGGGCTGACATTCGGGCATGGGGTTTTTGGAGGGCGAACAGGGTCCTGGCCACATGGTACCTCATTAAGGTTCTGGGCCCTTTTCAGGCTTGTGTAGCCTTGGGTCACAGGTTGCAGCCAGTTGTCTCGACTTCGCAAGTTGAGGAGCGAGTGGCAGCCGCCTCCCAGATAAATCCCTCTTTTCCTTTATCTTTGGTTAGGTAGCTCTGGGGAGCTGAAGGGGCTCTCCACAGAAAACCAGTATTGAATGTAATGAAACACCATTTTCTGGGCGAGACCCAGAGGCTTCCCAGTATCCCTCCCTCCCTCTGGTCTGCAGTTTTTCGCATTTTTTATATTCAGCCTCTGAACTGAGGTTGGGTAGCCGGCGTGGAGATCTGGGGCTCCCCCTTCCCCTTTCCGGGGAGGGGGGGAGTTGCGCAGACAGCAGTGTGGCAGCTGTGGTGACATCATGCTTGTTTGCTTGTTTTCTGATTGGGGAGTTGTGCTGCTCGTTCGGCTTTTGATTTTAATCAACTGTAGTTTGTTTTGGGATTCCTACCTTTCTGGGTGCCTGACCTGGTAGATGGCAGATATAGACTGCTTCCAACCACATGGCATTTGGCAACTTTTGAGGTGGCTCATGAGTGATGTGTCCCTTGGGTAACCTAAGCTGCCATGTGATGGCACTCTGGGAAACTAGTGTCTGGTTTGTCAATAATGGACAATCCACCACTTTCTTTATTTCCACTTTTTCTTTTATTAAAATATGAAGTTTGTTTTGCTTTGCCTGTACTTTATGGCACACCAACTTGCTAATGAGATCCCCATACTCCTCTAGTCTCCATGTTTGACAGGCCAGTGCAAGTCCAGAGACCGGGTATTTTTGAGGCCACCCAGAAAAAGACTTACATTAGATTCAATCCTAGATATTTAGAAGTTATAGAAAATTATGTGGCAAGAAAATAGCACACACACATTCTTCATGCTGCATTATTGCTCTGACACATTTGCAAAGTCATGCTCAGAGCCTGCTATTGCTGCTACTGCCATCACCCGCATGCATCCAAGAGCATATTTGTAAGTACGTACAGTACAGTGGACCTTTAATAATCTGGACATCCATACTGAGGATTTATCTAAACAATGAACCAAAGCCAGATTTTTCTCCAAAATATATGCAACTACCGATGCACTGTACTGTATACATTTTTAGTAAATTTTTAAATAAATTTAATCTGCCATTGTAGGGCTACATGGCTCAATAAATGAAAAACTTTCTTACACCACCTTACATACTTAAGTAATTAAGTAATAGATTCAAATCAATATGTGAGTGCAATCTCCGGATATCACACAGATGCAGCACCACAAGATTAAACAAAAAAATTATATGAAAATTCTAAGATATCCTTGCCAGAAATTATTGTTCAAATACACTCAACTACTGGGTTATGTGCGAGTGAATTTAACACAAATGACTTAAAAAGAGAGATAAAAACCAAGACCCTTTCAGTTAAACAGTTAATGAATTATTTTATACGAGTCACTGGTACTGTACCAAGAATTTCATGTTTTGTTGGTAATTGTCATTAAAAATTACTGTAAATGCATGAATATTAAAGTCACTGTATTCTTAATTATCTATTCCACATATATTTATTTATGAAATTTCACTTTGTTTATGATAACCAATGAGAACCGAGGCTTTTTTACACATGAATAATTTTGTATTTATATAGTAGACCCTTGCTGTCTAGGTTCAAATACATGATCCAATCACAATTTTAACACTGAAATGTACGTTTCAAGATGATTACATTATTTATTTTATTGAGATCAGATTTACTTCTTTATAGGAAGCAAGAAAATTTAATGCACATAAACACCAGCATCAAGGTTACAGGAGCAGCCAGTTCGTTCTCGGCTCACAATCAAGAACTCCGGTTTCAAATCCCAGACGGGACAGACATGGTTGGGCGTGTCTCCTATCACCTAATGCCCTTGTTTACCTAGCAGTAAACAGGTCCCCAGGAGTTAGTCAGCTTGTTCTGGGGCTACATCCTGGAAAGGGTCAGTAATTCGACCTTGGGGTCGAAACTTTGATATAGGCCTAACATATATATATATACACTGGCTGCATGTCCCGACACAATGAATTATTAATATTATTTACAATTTTAACAGATTTTCCTAATAAAGCAATGGAGAATACATAACCCAGTGCAATTAAAAATTATTCATGATAGCTATGCAAAAATTAGTAGTTAGAAGAAAACATTGTACAAGAAGCTTTTTTTATGACAGTGAAACTTAATGAACAATAACTGAAGAGAACCCATTTGCTTGACAAGGACAACCAAGTAGCATATTATGAAGCTAATGATTATATATGTACAGCTGAACGAGTCAAATAGCACAGCACCTGCCATGATCAGTAACCACCCGTGAGCATACTTTACTCTCTCTCTCTCCGTGTCTTAACCACAGAGCACCAAAATTATACCCCACAGTATTATGAGACACCTTACAAGGAGAAGTGTAACTAGTAAACTGGTAGTCCACCTCTAAAGAAATACAGTATTCCAAGTTTGAGAACTGGTACTCATTAGAAGCTTCGGGTATGCAGCACTTAAACATGCTTTCCACTGTAGTGAACAAAAAAACTTATTTCTTCTTTCACAAATATTACATAATTCAAATACTGTAAATAAATTTACTGTATATTTGGAGAAGACCAGTTCACAAAGGGTAAAAAAAAGCACCATGTTTACAGGCAAACTTCTTTATGTACACCTACCTTTTTTGAAGCCATGAGTGAGGCAGAGTTATCTTGAAGAGGCTGATGAACAGTTACAGTAGATGCAGATCCCGAGCCCGAGCCAGGACTGTTTCTGACACTGCTAGGAACGCTGAGGCTCTGACTGCTGCCACCCGTGCTGCTCTCCCCACCGTCTCCCTCTGCCTCACTATCCTGGCCCAGCTTGGCACGGATGATTTCCTCCATCTCACCTGTGGTAAGTAATTGTAGCTACTGACCACCTCAATAACATTAATAAGTATAATGTTTTTAGAAATCAAAGCCCAAAAATGTCAAACAACTACAAAATAAAGAGTACAATTACACTTCAGCATAAATAATAAGATTAGATAACCAATATAATAGTACCTTCAGTAGAGAGAGCAATAGTTTTTATAAGCTACAGTACTGTACGCGTACCACTTGACACCTTGTTTCTTCGACAAACAGCAGCCCACAGCAGACAACCCTCGAGGCAGCCAGCCCTAGTTAAACATTATCCATCAGCCTCTTTGATGTTTCTTAACACATCATGAGACTTAGTCTAGACACAGTCCTCTACCTTCCCTTTCTACAAGGTGTTGTATTCCCATCAGTCTAACCCTCAATAGACCTTCCTTACGTTCCTATCGTCAATCATCCTCTCTGGATGCCCACACTATTATAAGTCTCTCTCTACCTCCCCCCATCCTCCCTCACATCTCACATATCTGACTCTTCCTTCCTAACTCATTCTTAAAAAATATAACTTATTTCAAACCCAACATAAACGGGTTGGTACATCAAGTTATTTTCTTAAAAATTAGTATATCTTGTCTTAAAGCATGAGGTGGATATCACGTGCTACACTCACAATTGTATGGCTAAACTTTGCACATAATTATTTGTACAAAAATACAAACTTTGGTCAAATGGAGAGTTTAGAGTTGGTTACAACCCATGCATTTACTATTTTATTAAGAGGGCCTTATTAATTTTTCTCCACCTATTTACACTAACTTTTTCCTAGGGACCAAATCACATCTCTTCCATTCACTACTCTGCCTCTTATTTCTACCTCCAATGTTCCATGCTTGCACAATCCCAAATATTAAAATTTTTAAATACTGTATCTTCTAACACTTTACCATTTAATTTTAAGAGTCTAAATTTTAAATCTTAAAAATTAAAGCCTCATATTTAAATCTTAAATATTACTTCACATTTTATCTGTACAGTATATTCTGTAGATAAAAACAAAATCCACAAAGTAACATTCCTGCCATTTAAGAAAACCATCCCCTTACTCATACCATACTGCAGCCTTTCTCAACCAAAGTTCCACGGGACCCCAAGGTAACTGGGGGGTTCCGCAAGAGATAGTGATAAGTAGGCTAATTCTAAGCATATGCAAATGTATTTTCGAGTAATTTTTGTGTTTAACTTTTCTCATTTAACCAGCATCAAGACCAGACAGTAAGCGTCTTTCAGTTAACGACGAAATCAAGGGGTGTTTATCTAAAATATGACTTAAAATTATTTCAAGGGTACAAAAGTTGAAAAACCGTGTCATACTGAACGCAACTCATTCTTCCTTTATGTCTGCAACAATGAGTCTTCCTTGCTCATGCTGATATACAGGTATGTATACATCTTTCATCCCCCAGAACAGCCACATTTATCCCATATGTTACATACCCATGAGATCAATACTTTGTGGAGAAGGTGTGCTGAGGCTGTCTGTGGAGCTCGGAGATATTATTCCGCTGCCCGTCTCAATCAGCTCGTACTTTCGAGTTCTGCTGAGTGTTAAAATACAATTATTATTATTACAATACTTAGTGGAGGTGTGGTAGAGTCTGTCTGAGTTGACACATCCCTCCCTCTTCTCAACCAATTCATATTTATGTATGCTGAAAGATGTCAAAATACAGCATAACAATTTTGATCACATATCCTGCAAAACAACAGTATTTATACTTTGACATTCAGAAGAACTTACCAGCACAAGGTGGTGGAAACAATTGTGATTGTGAGTTTATCAAAAATATGAGTTGGTAGATGTTATTTTTATTGTCCTCTATTTTATTATCAAATTTTATAAGATGGTGTAAACAACATAAAATTAGACAGTGTAACTTACAATGCATAACAGAGAAGATGAGAAAAATAAATTGAGATAATATACAAATTGTTGCATGTGATCTATACATTATATGATGTACAGTACAATTAGTTACTTTACAATTAAATATCATTAATCGTGCATTTCCTACACGACAAACATCAGAATAACAAACATTTCTAATTAAGAAGGTTGTCATTTAAAAACTATGAAATTAATGCTAAGTAGCACACAAGCCACTGTGTTTAATGCTGCTGAATCATAGCAGCAAAAGTAATAAATAAGAAAACTGAGTGAGTACATGACACTACTCTCTCCCATACTATATATACCACATCACACTGCACTGCTCACTCACACATTCCACAAGATGCTACACCCTCACATACTATACCACACCACACTGCACTGCACACACTCACATGCTTTATCACACCACACTGCACTGCACACACTCACATGCTTTATCACACCACACTGCACTGCACACACTCACATGCTATACCACACCACACTGCACTGCACACACTCACATGCTATACCACACCACACTGCACTGCACACACTCACACACTATACCACATCACACTGCACACTGCACACCCTCTCACACTGTACCACACCACACTGCACTGCACTCTCCCATACCACAAGATGCTACACCCTCACACACTATACCACACCACAGTGCATGCTCACATACTACACCACACTAACAAACAATGCACTAATCATAAGCCACACCACACTATGCTACTTCTTACCTTACCGCACAGTACTACAGTAACAATGTATTCAACTTCCACATGCTACACTAAAAGCAACTACAACAGTGAACTAAATTATCATGAAATTTTAAAGCATCAGGTACCATAGCTAATGAGAATGAGTGAGTGAATACAGAAAGAGTGGGAGTGTGTTTAGGATGGCATATTGCTTATTTGCCCAGTCAAACCATCAGGTCCTCCCTAAGTTACGTTATGTAAATTTACTATTATTTAAAGCTCCAGCCATTACAAAAGCAAGTGTTTTTGTCTTCTTTATATATGATTAAATAGCGTGGATTGTTAAGCACTCAAAGTTTATTATTTTACTTTATTTTATTCTTGACACTGGCTGTGTCTTTAAGCATGTCCTTTAACAAGTATGACCTGTCTTCTAACTGGTTTTTCTTTGTATAATGCTTTCAGTACAAAAACTGAATACACAAAGTATCAATATATTCCTGCACAACCTCATCTTTTCACGTACGCTCTTCACCTTTTCTCTCCTCCCTGCTACACCTCTCATCACTATTGTTGCCTCATTGCCAAAATTAGTAAACCAATATGTTTTCAGAATGGGATTATATACATTAAGTTTGCCTATCACCACATGACACCATTACATTATACCAAAATTACTTACCCAGATAACATGTTGGTATCTTCTAGAATGTTAATCTGAGATGCTCGTTTGTAGGTTGCTTTTGCCGAGAAGCCAGTAACGTTTCCACCAACTGTCCGCGGCCGCCGCTTCACACTGGGCACGGGTGAAGACGGGGCTGACCGAGGCTTTTGGGGCGACTCGCCTGTCACCAATGAATAAATAATGTATACATTTGCTAAATTGATATTAAACATAATTTTATGAATGAGTCATTATTCTGCTAATCAACTTAAAGCTTAATACTGTGCAGTACCTTATATTTAATTAATTTTATTTCATTTTTGATTACTTAGAAAGGAACAGATGTTATTCATTAGGATGCCTCATCCCTAATACTAACATTAATTTCAATCGTGGCTCAAAATCTCAAATAATACTACAGTATTTAAATAAATTTAACAAATGACTGTAATAGAGAGATGGACAGCAATCTACATAAAGGTAAACAATAGCAATTATGCTTTAACATTTTATTTACTGTTATAGTCTAAAATAACCTGCCCTTTCCAGTGGTTCTATTAAAAAAAATTATTGCTATTTCCATGGCAAGAAAAAAAGTTTTGCTAAACAACTTGAGTTTGGATAAAATATTGTTGAACAGCACAGGGTTAGGTATCCCAGGGCTGGATAACACAGGGTTGGATAACACAGGGCTGGGTATACAGGTTTCAGTATGTGAAAATTCTTCCTTAAAATGATAGATAATACCATGCACATTCAACTACTTTCCGAGTTCTCTACCCACCAGAGTTTAATATTTTGTGCTTGATAAGATAATATACTGATTAGTCCCATAGCCCCTTACAGGGAAAATGTGACCTTGCATGAAGTCTCAACTTGGACTACCTACCTCTCACCTCACTCAACTGTTCACTATTTATAACAGTTCATAGTTAAAAATAAATCTTTTTGTCCTCAATTATCATCATGACTCGGCCATTGTTCCAGGAAACTGCAAGTCCTCATGAAAAGTGTTTATTATGCGCTCACGATGTAATTATTGGAAAGTATTAGAATATTGGTACACGTAAGGGGAATAAGATGTCTCATTGCCAAAAGAACAAAGGGTGACAAGTCTAAATTTAGCCACTAACATTTCTATACATCATAAAATACTGTGCAAGTCGAATGATATGGATACTATTCATTAGTATACTGTTGTATAGAACTGTTCTGGCAATTACAGCCACAACAAAGCAAGTAATGAATAGACCGACACACCAGCACTCTCGTGAACCCCTAGAGATGACGTGCCCCTACTCTTCACAATTAACCAAAGTGGGTTTCAGCCCATCTACACTAAAAAGCTAGCAGGCTGGAACTACCACTCACCATTAACCCATGTTGGCGTCATCCCACCATCATCCACTCGGGGTTGCTGGAAGTCTTTGATCTTGCCCCGAAATTCCTTGTACGTCTGTCTGCCCTTCTCTTTAACTTGTTTTCCACCTTTAGTTACCTATTAAACCCATAAAGTTATACACAATAGTTTGACTTTTTAAGTAAATGTTATAACTAGGTAAGGTAAACAGCATTCACAATTGTTGTCAATCATGGAGTATACCTTGGCCTTCAATATTAGTCATATCAGCTTTGTAAACAAATTAATACAATCATGAACATGATGAATATAGCCAGGATACAGAGTGCAAGCATAACATAGAAAAATGCAGCACTATAAGATAGGGATAATTAAGAAAGAAGCATATTTTGCCTAGTTTACACAAGATTAATGTATGCTTTTAATTTATTTTGTAAGTAAGCATTATCATACTCTAGATTTTGCAAGACTTGTTAAGCTTACATCAGATTACAGTATACATTTGCTTTGAATTTGGGATTCAAAATCAGCTTACCAATATTTTGTCTCTAATAACTTGCTCATTTGCCAACTCAAAAAGCATAAAAATAAATTCTCAAAATCTTAAATACTATTATGAAATAAACCACAGAAAAAGCTTAAAATATAAAGCCATGCAAGAAGAGGGACAATGTTTCAAAACAAACCCTTCAATGTTGCCGACGTGACGACACAAAAGTCCATTCTCATCGATTAACAGACAAAATTATCCATGTGTGTATTTATTTTAAGAGCAGTCCTTCTCGACATGCAGTCTAAATTCTGTGATAGCTATCTGCTAAGTATTTATGTCCTAAATATTAATCATAATTGTATATTAATTGTGTTTAATTGTATAATTAATTAATCATTAGTCCCCGTGGTGTTGTGGTTAAGTCGCTCGCCTGGCATTTCGCGAGCGCTTTGTCCTTGGTTCGTATCCTGGCCGGGGAGGATTTACTGGGCGCAAATCCTTAACTGTAGCCTCTGTTTAACTCAACAGTAAAATGGGTACCTGGTTGTTAAACGATTTTTCGTGGGGTCGTATTCCAGGGAACATAGGATTGAGGACTCGCCCGAAACGCTACTCGTACTGCTGGCTGTACAAGAATGCAAGTACTCTTGTAGAAATAAATAAATAAATAATTAAAAATAAATAATCATAGAAGTATAAATGATATTAGCCAAAACAGTTTTTCACTCAATATATTAAATAATAATTTCTATGAATTTATGCTTTATTATCTAATTGATTTTAAAATTCAGGACATTTAATATTAGTTCTGTATCTAGAACTATTAACTGATCATTAGCAAAGGTTACAAAACAAGTAGCAGTGAGAAGGATAAATATTTTGACAAAATATTGTCAATAACTAACTTTAGCTAAATATTTTATGAATCCAAGATCACAGATAATACTGAGAACATTATGTGTATAGAAAAGGAGCAAAAACTAACATTCTAATCAATGGTAACAATACATATTTTTGTCAGTAGCTTAAAATGTATACTGTATACAATACCAAATTTTCAAGTGCCATGCAGCTCATAACACACGAACAACCATAAAAGGCAATGAGTAGGCTTACTGGTTATATCTATGAATTGAATTCATGCAACATTATATATTTAGCTCTATTTCTACATCACATTTAGCATTTTTCATTATCTATAAATCTTTCAGCACCATGTATGCTATTTGCTATTTTGTAATAGAGTATTTCGAAAACAAGTGACTAGCCATACCTCAAATGCTTATCTCAAGAAGACCTTCAATTCTAAAGATACATCTATTTACTGGTAGTTAACTGCATTCCAATTCTAACAAATACAAGCATATAAACAATATGCTAATCAATTGCTCACAAGCTGCCTTCACTTGAGTATTGTAGCATCTGCAGAGGGACGCTTCTTAACATGAGAATAAGAACAAAAATTCATCCACTTGTTCACATATACAATACAGTATATCAAAACAATACTCAAACTCTGCATGTACAAAGTTTGCATCTGAAATCGCCAATTTGCAGGTGAAGAAAATGGACAACGACACATGCTGGTTAAACGTGCATCTTAAGTTAATTCTTCACTCAAGCCAGCCACCTTACGCCTTGTCTTCCTCTGTCAGAATTTACAAGTACTGTATTTATTAAAAAAACAATGAATGCTTCCCTAAATAACAAATCCAAAACTTCCTTATTGACTTTCCATTTCTTATATAATTTCAAAATTAAATATTTCTAATATTTGCTTGTATAAATAGCACACACAATGCTGAAAATGATAGATAATCATAGAAATAAAATGTCATGTAAACTATAGAAACTGTAATCAAACCTCACTTAAAATGCTACCTTCCTACCTTAACGATAACAGCACTGATTAACCAGAGGTCTGAGATCTGATGTTTGAGAAGAAAAAGCTACATCTATTGAAGTTAGCAGAGGTTACTGGGATGCAAAAGTCCACTAGATATGACACTCAACCCACAAATCTGAAAATGAAGAGGGCCGACGACGTTTTGGTCGGTCCTGGATCATTTTCACGACTTGATAATGGTCCAGGATAGACCAGAATGTCATCGGTTCTTCATTTTCAGATCAGTGCGTTGGGTGTCAACTCTTCAGCCAGGTTATTGTGACTCATTATCTCAACTAGATTTAACAATTAGTCATTTTGTATATTCAAACATTTAACTTTATATATTAATAATTAATTCTTTTAAATACAATAATAATTGCTAATATGTATATATATTTATATATACGTAATATCTTTACAGGATTTGGCATCCCAAACCTAACAAAGGCAAACAGCTGGGAATATAAATGGTTAGTTTTGCAAAACTACTTACACTTTTAACAGCAGATTTAACAGCAGGGTTGGTCTGCAAAGAACATGATCCCATAATTATACAAAGCAAGCCCAAAAAAGCCAAGTGAATCCCTCAGCTGACAGAAGTCACCAGCACAAGCGGTGAGATTATCTCAGCCTTGTGTGCCGAGACTCCCAACAACTGAAGGACTGCATCCCTTATGCCCAACAAGTTCAGAAAAACAAACCAAACTGTAGCAGCAGAATAAATGACTGACAAAATCTGCAAGTCCCACATATAAAAATAAATAACGTGATTAATTTATGAAAAAAAAGGTGATGCCAAAAGTCATTCGGTAGAACCATGACGGAGGTACTCACGGTGTTACTGTTACTTTTCAGGTGTCTAAACGGGCTCTACAATGGATAAAGCAGAGGTATTTAATTACCTAATTGGACAAGCCAATTTCACTAAGTAAAGCAACTTTGATTGATTTCTATGCTCAAACTACAATATTTACATTAGTAACATTTATATACAATAGCTAGAGCAATGATTGTATAACTTGTGAATTAAGCATTAAGTCAAGTTTAATCACAAACTTACAATACTGCAATTTGTAAAACTGAATGAAATAAAATATATAACAAAAAACTACATGTGGAATACCCTCTTTGAAGTGAAGTTATAGTTTCCTAGGAATAAAATATAAATACATAAAAATATATATATATAATACTATCAGACTACAAACTTTGAATCAAACATCAGGATTTTTATTAACATGTTAATAAAAATCATTGTTAATATGTTTGATACAACAGTTTAATGCTAAGTTTGAATTATTCAGTTCTGTAAGTCTGCACATATTCAACATTTATTCATATTAAATTTGCATTAAATTTGATATACTGTACTGTAAAACACTTGGTGTATGCCACCCAGCAAAAATCATTGTTTATTTGTCAAATTTTAGCACTATGGATGATTTTATGCCCAAGCTTGACCAATATAAAATTTGTTTCATTACAACACTGCCATTCTTATTCCTGAGAAGTTTAAGATTACTACAAAGAGTAAGAAATTATTTATTATAAATAATTACAATATGTAAATATACAGTACTGTATACATATAAATAAACATGAGCAATACGAGTCTGGAAGAGTCAAGATGAAGGGTGCTTCAAACACGACTATGCATGTTTACCCTGAGGTACCTTACAAACATGCTGATGACAAACTCACTTCAAACACAACTAAGCATGTTTTACTCTGAAATACCTTACAAACATGATGATGACAAGCTCACTTCAAACACCACTACGCATGTTTACCCTGAAATACCTTACAAACATGCTGATGACAAGCTCACTTCAAACAAGAAACACTTGTAAATCCAATGCAAAATTTAATAGCCAGCCACTACTAATCAAAATTCTGATTTTCATACTAATCTTTACTCTTAAAGCTAAGTCAAGTGAAATTTGTTTATATTAAGAACCCCTGCAAAGTGGCACTATCTTTTAAGGCATTATTTGTCATCCAGCTTCAATTATTTATTAATGATTTTATTAAATAAAATAGTTTATGCTAATTATAAATCTTGAATACTGTATATGCTTTTTATAACTAGACAAAATTTTAACGTTCTGCCTCAGATACAGTCTAACATCCTAACCTTTCCTAATAATTTATTGAACATTTTTGGTTTTCTTAAGCCACTGACTTCAGATCATAAAAGCTAAAACCACAAATCACAAATGCCCCAACTATTATCCCTAACTCAATTCACCTCGTTCAAACAGTTAGAGAAGACTTTGTTGTGGATTTAAGTGCTGTAGACCCTACACATTAAAAATAAGGCTTCGAATTAATATGAAATTTACATGTCAAGAGTGCAGTTACTAAAATTGTTTCCTCACAATAAAATAAATGCCTTTTTTAGCAGGTTAGAACAGTGGTGACCTAATACCAACTCCACCAAGTTTTCCACCTAAGACACTTACCTTGTTCTTCATGGTCTTGACAATAGCCCCACCCTCCTTGCGCACATTAGTGACGAACTGTTTATACTGCTGCTTCACCTTGGAGGAGGATTTCTCGCAATGAACACTAACTTCCAATTCAAACTCGTCTGATGTTTGTTTTCCAGAATTAAGACGTTCTAACCTTTCTTCAATAAACTGTAATGAAGAGGAAATGATAGAACTAATGAATATTACCATCATTACCCAGGGTAAAATAGGAAGGCAATGTAGGAAGAGATAAATCAAATATACTCAAAAGGGCACAAATAAAATCCTCATACTGTATCATCTACATTAGCCAGCAACACTTTGCACCACCACCACCACCACACTACAACAAAACATTAACCGCAGCAAAACTGCTTTATACAACTACGTGTGTAATCCAAATTCAAATACACGTAATCTGAATCTTTGGGTAATCCAAATAAATTCAAGTTCAAGTTTTTCAGCTGCTCAACTTGAATAAAAATTCGGGTTACCAAGATTACAGGCAAATGAAAGCTCAAATAAATTCAAATTTGTTTCAGATTTGGTCCGTCCAGGACAAAATATCTGAATGCCCAGCCAAGTCAACCGTGGGTGGGCCACATACAATTTGGTTTATCGAGTGTAGACATTACATTGTGATAATTTACCCGAAAATACTAAAGTTTGTCCCCCAATTTAGCAAAACTTGGGTTTTGCCGGAAAATTTGACGAAAATAAACAAATCGATCCAACGTCGCCTGCATTTTGAAACAAAAAGAAAAAACTCTCCTAGGTCAACCAGTATTCCAAAGGAACGACTTCCATTCAAGTAGAGGTTCACGGTAAATAAATATATTGAGGCTATACAATTATGAAGTGAAACGGGAATCAACATCATAGGAAAATTGTCAAGGAGTACTGTATATACCTCCTCATTCCAATCTGTGTGAAATATATGCGCTAAAATAACTTTACCAATTAAATTATCTTTATAACATTTGCATTTATAGGAGACTTTCAGGTCTGCTCGAGAATGTCTTCCTGGAGATCTTTAGCAAAGCCCAACTGCACAGCTTTTCCTTATGAGTCTTATGAGAAAAATGGGATGTATACCAGGACCAAGGTATTTATTAGAAACTTTAATTAAAATAATTAAATGTATAGTACAGTTCAATTTCAAGGTTTATTAACACAAATAGTTAAATAAATTCCAATACTGTTCTATGAGAATTTAAGGTTATTTTACAAATGTAACAAAAACAATTTATTCTTGAGCAAAAATACTGTATATATAAACTTAGTTTTGTAATGAGCAATTAAATTTATGCAAAACAATTATGTTTTGGTTAAAACACAATGAAATTCAAAATTGATGATTTTAAAGCAATTTACAGTATAATGGAAAAAAGTATGATGCTCAAGTAATAATTCAAACTACTATATAAGTAAAATATATCAGTATATTTATAAAATATCAGCCGACTGTTAATGAAAGGAAAGGGCCAATCGGTTACCCCATGTAGAAGTGGACCCACTAAACCCCACCATGCATGTATACACTACTGTTCTTCAAAATAATTTGATGTAACATTAGATCATAATTAAAACTTTAATTAAGGACTGCAAAGGCCTATTAAGACAAATTAAATAGGATGTTTTTCAGTTACAGTACTTATCAATAATATGAACTTGAACAACAGGAATATTCCTCACACCTGTTGAAAAATTTGAAGTTCTAACATCTTCTCGACAAATGGCTGGAAATTTGGAGGACGGATTGCAACAAACTTTTCTCTATTAAACGTAATTTGCGAGTCTTCTTCTCTAAACTGCAACGCTTCTTTATAGTTGCCAATAAGCTGGACGAGAGCACGCAGAAATGCACGGGCCACGCTGTCTCCAAGCATATTGTTTGAAGACTTTAGATTTCTTTTGAGATTGATGACCACTTCATCCGGCAAGGTATCTACATCATTAAAGGGTGTCTTGACAGTATTGTTGTCAGCGTCTAATATCACAGCTTCTCCCACATCGTCCATTTGTACTTTCTACGAGACAGTAAACAAAACATGATGTAAATCTTGGGATGGTGGGAATAGTTTCACATTCTCATTAATCTGATAATGTAGAACGGATTATACCCAGAAAGTGACAGACATTAAGTGATAAATTCACAAAGTTGGGAAATAAATTCAGACTAGGACTCAAAATCATTTCCTGATGACTTGAATTTATTTATATATTAATGAAAAAATTGGGACACTCTTTAATGCTGACATAGGGTTTTAAACCTAGCAAATTACAAGAGCTGCTAAATATCTACTGAACAATTTGAAACTGATAAATGTGAATATGACAAAACTCTACGAGTCATGACTGGTAAAAAACTAGAGCCAAAACATCAGTACTGTACAGTATATAAATGCCCAAATGAAAGAAGAAAGTCGGATACCGGGATTCACATCTAGAAACATTAGTAACAAGACATCTAATGTTATTCTTCAGTTTAATCTTACCCTTGTTAAGCTCCATACTGATTTTGCCATTCCATTTAGGCCTTCATTTTACAGAGTAAGTAAATTCTATGATGAATCCAGAGAATGATGCTTAAGTTAATTCCAAGAATTAGGAACCTCCCATATGAAGAGAGATTAAATAACATTAATTTACATTCTTTAAAAAGATGAAAAATCAAGAGACATGAATTAAAGTGTATAATAAGGGGGATACTGTATAAACAAAGTACAAAAATGACAACTTAAACTAGAAAACCTCACATATCTTCTAACTACAATAATTTCCTGTTTGTTACATGTTCTCTAAACTAGACAAATGTCATCAGTTTACCCCAGCTTGCTTTTTTCAACTTATGAATCAGCTTTTACAGTGGACAATGTCAAAAGGCATTTCAGCATCAAGAAAGATGCAAGCCACCCAGACTTCACTCTCGGCCATATGAGAGACTGATGTTGGGGTATTTTAGAAGAGCTAAAGCATAAGCTGTCTTTCATCAATAAATTTAATTCTCTCCTTATATTCCAATCTTTTTTCTGAATGTTGTTATTAATATTTTACATTAGATGCTTGTCAACAACACTGGTTTACAATTTAAGGCAATGGGACTTTTTTTTTTTTCTGAAATATGGGGACCACATTTAAAAGTTTTCCCGACTTCTCAGAATTGTTGTCCATTTAATAATGACACTTAAGAATCTATGATGTGTATTACATTAGGTTTGTGGGTAGAACTTAAGGAAGCCTTAGGATATTGAAAAATGTAATTTTTTTATTACCTCTTCTGTATACAGTACTGTATAGAGAAAATGGAAAACTGTCAATTTTTGTATTTTACATTACTTTTTACAATTTTTTTTTTTAACTTCACACTAGAACAAGTAGTCTTTCACTTTTCCTATCCACACTATCCCTACTTTCACAAATGTCTTCTTTATAACATCAACTACACTTTATACCTACAACTAAAAACCTGTCTCTCAATAAATAGCAAACCAATTCAGGCTCCATCTCTTCTAAGCTAAACTACTCAATCCATATATGCATCCAGACATTCTTCCATTCTCACTGACTGAGGGCAATATTCTTACCGCCAGGAGTAAAGTGTTGACCCCAATGAGGAAAGGCATAGGGGCCAGAAGGTAATCTAGGAGATGCTGCGGCAGTACAGGGATAAAAATATGCTGCCACTGCATAGGGTAAATAACGGAGTTCGCTGCCTGGACACAAGCCGATAGTCGAGAGAGCCGTTTAGACACCATAATTATTCGTCTCTCGTACAGCATCGAGGCAAATATAATGATCATGTTGTGTGTATCCACAGCGTTGTAGTATTCAGCCAGGTTCCGCTGAAATTATGATGCACCTTGTAGTTCATACATTTTGACATACTAAATACCAGTACAGTACTTTATAATGACATACTGTATTTCAGTATAATCAATTAGTTAAGTGTACATCTAAAATTCATGAAAAAAAATTAACAATTCTTCAAAATATATAAATGCTTTCACAATAAAGTAATGAATTAATAATAATAATAAATATAATAATAATTAGTAATAATAAAGCATAAACAGGATTATTTATCCTTTATCAAAGTTTTTTGCGAATACTAATGATTATAATGATTTAAGCTACAAGAATAGACTACAGTGCTCTAATTTAAATATATAAACTGAAAGTATATCAAAATATATAAATATGAGAGATTAACAATCTTTTTAAGAGTACAAGAGTGTTCATACCCACTCATCTGGCAAGTGAAGAGAGAGCATATAAGGTATATGTTCTCCAGCATATACCTGCTGAAGAACATATAATCAACTCTTAGTACAGAGACCACACTTGTAGAGGGTTAAGCCCTATGGCTACTGACAGGCCAGGTTATGTCATGCTCCACACCTTACACTTCCTTAAGGATGTCTTTGCAAGTTACTCTTTCAAGGTGCATTAAAATAGACTTTTGTTTTAGGAATTTACTCTTTTTAAACATTAAATAACAAATATTGTTGAAGAACTGCTGTGTTCTGAATAGTTTGACTCTTTTGAGGCTAACTAACTAAATATATATTTTATAAGTTTTAGGCTAGGCTTAATGTTAACGAATTAATAAATAGTAATTTTTGTGGAAAGACATTCTTAAATTTGCTTTTCCTCAAATACTTAACAAGAGCCCTACAACATGCTTAGTTTTCCACACAATAAAATCTAAAAGTTCAAGCAATAGGAATAACTTACATTTTCTGGGATGGTGGGCAGTTTTAGATGGTTTGGACACTGAGCTATAAAGGACTGTAAGGCAAAGCATTAGAGGTTAGTATCTAGCCACAGATACTAACATTATTTACTTGCTGCAACATCAAGAGCATTTATCATTATGAAGGGAAAAGTGTACATTAAGAGTACATCAAACACAGAGTACTGTACAGAAAAAATACAAATAAAAATCACTGCATTTGCAAATTATCCAAATTCTCTTGTTTACCTTGACATCTAATTCATATATTGCACTAAGACCACAAGCTCAATTTACAAAATCATAATCAATATATTGCAATCAAATAATGGCTTAACTGTTTCTGATGATCAAGAAACTGCTGTACAGTATTTAAATTTGCAATTAGTCTTTCTCAAAGCTTACATTTGCTATGCAGTGCAGAAAATTTAAGGGCATGTCTAGATTCCTACTCACCTTATTTTCTCCATATGGTATAATAATGTCTGAGCCTGGGGGAGGAACTGGGAACTTGTAGATGTTCTGGAGACATGAGGTCATGTCACTGGTTTGGTCTGTGCTCATCATTTCTGACAGTTGATTTAAAAGTCTGCAAACAATGCAAACACACACACACTAACAAACAATATTTACAAAAGAAAGTACTTTAAATAACAACTGCACGATTCCTAAACTGGAAACAAACTACTGTAATGTATTACAAAATACCAAAAACATCTTCTCCATAACAAGAAAATGCAAATGCTCTCCAGGAAATAAATATTCAGAGTAGCACAATATAATTATAGCTTCAAAGTTTATCTAATAACTCATTTCCAAAAGAAAGTTCTTCAATGCAATTCATGAGACAAGTAAAATTATATCTTAGCTGAATAGTAACCTCAGAGGTAAGCTTTTAAAGCTTTAGTGCAATAGTCTATAAGCAGCAGACTAGTGTTTAAAATTCTTTAACATATATATAAAGTTCTGATACAGTATCTTGAGCACTAGAAGATATAGACTTTCGGGTATTTAAGTGTTTCAAGAGCATCCGCAAAGATTTTGATATTTCTGTCACCCCTGTCTTTCACTGCTGTTAATTTTTTCTTTGATAAAATTATAATTGAAGAACAAATTGCCATTGCTCCCTTTTCACTAGTTTCATATTGTAATACTGTACATATATTTTTATTTTTCCCTTTTAATAATTTATTCTGCTTTCCTATTTTATCTCATTTATAAGTTTGCAGAGTCTTCATTCCCTTCAAACATTTCTTACATTGAAAACAAACAACTGTCAATTGAATGATAACCTACCAGCAGGAGTTTGGCAACAGATTTGAATACTTCTTGAGGGAGTCTTCAGCACTTTAAAGGCATTTTAAATATTAAGAGTAATGCTGTACAGTCCTTTTGACCACCTGCTCAAGGATGGGTAATTCTCAGATAGAACAAGGTGCTCACAGTGAAAGAACAAGATGCCTGAATAGTGAAAGATTTTATGAGTGTTGACATAAGACAACTTTTAATACTGATGGACAACAATACTGATGTTGACATAGACAACTTATAATACATTTCAACTTACTTATAGAATGTTTCGTGCCATGGAAGGTGAGAGAGTATCACAAGAGCTGTTTCTGCTCCTGGAGCATGACGGCAGAATCCATACGTCCATTTTGAGTCTAGGCTCGTTAATACAAAGGAAAAATGCTGGACATTTAAGCTGTGGAAAAATTAATGCTGCATTAGAAAAGTTAAATTGAAGAATTTTAACAAAAATGCTAAGAACTTTTCCCATCTTTAGCAACAATCCAAAGAGGCTTCTTATAATAATTATATAATAAAAATCTAAAGTCCCATCTTTCAAGTGGGTTTCACTAATTTTACATATTCATAGTTTTGTATCATCAAATAATACATATTTTTTATTATATAATTGTGCTTTAAAACATTACTTAACACCTGACACTACAATGATAAATTTTGATCTTGACAATAACCCTAAATTCAACTCGTTAAACCTAATCATGGTAAACTGAGATAAATTTTGCTCAGCAAGGCCAGCTCAAGCTGGCTCCTGCTCAGCAAGACCAAATTAAACTAAATATTTCCAACCAAAGGAGTGACCCACATGAACCAACCTTTCAAAAGAACATGGAAAGGCAAACTGGGGAACACATTTAAGAATTTCTTCTTTGTTGTAACTGTTGGGGAACTTCTGAATGATCCATGCTGGCCGATCACTTCCCTTAGGACCGACCACCTCGCACCAGCACTCCAGGAGCCGTCTTGGGTTCTCTCTATACATAAAAAATTAATTATTATTTTTATGTAAAGGTTGAGAAATAATACATTGTATATTCTACTGTATATATATATATATATGCAAGATATTCACTACTTTTGCAAGTGAAATTTAAGAGAAGGTCTGTATTTAAATAAAGAAATTAACTTACCTGACAACTAAAAAGATTCCTGATCTTTGGTGGCATTACACTGTTTCCCTTTCAATGTTGATGCCCCATGACATTGTTCCTTCACTGACCCTCTTTCTTTTACTTATTAAAAACATTTTGTCAGAGCTCACCGGAACTAGAACAAGCTACTGTATCTACGTATCATGCTTATTTTCAATTCTGAATACAAATGTTACATACATTTAAATATACTTGGACTGTACATACTTAATTGCCACAAACTAAAATAATGAACAGCATTCAATAATTTGAACAGGTAAAATAGCTATCTGCACCTGTCTTCGTCACATCATCGGTCTCATTTTGTCCTCGTCATGTTCATTACATTGTTTTACAGCATTTTATGCTAATAAATAATAATGAAAGAGGGAGGCATCACCACAGTAACCAGTCAGACAGTGTAGCTTGGCCAGCACTGAACCATTAGACTGCCTTAAATTTTGCAAGAGCATTTATAAAAGAACATTATGTGCTGTAATTGTAATAGAAGCCATATGGGGTTATTGTAAGTAAAATATGAAGAGTAGAATTACCAATTTAAACAATTAACACAAGAAGGATGAATGCAAAATATAGGATGGAAAACAGAGTAAAGATGAACCAAACAGAAGTAGTAGTTTCACAGGATTATAACTAAAATGGCATAATTAAGAATAAGACAATGAAATTAGTTCAATTATAAAACATTAAGACAGAAAATAAACAAAGATACAGTGTATACTGTATAAAGAACACACCTCTATTAATAATGTAATATTGATAAGGAAATGAAAAAAAGCATGCAATGAGAGAAACACAAGACAAGCCAAATAATTATGCAACTGGAAAATATTAGTCAAAAAAAGAACACAAATCAAAGAAACTGACAAAGCAGAAAAGTCAATTATTGCAGAAAACATCAAAATCCATTTGGAAGGAAAAAGGCTTACAAAGAAAATACTATTTCTAATTTAAATAATTTTAAACTACACCGATTATTAATAACACTATATCTATTATGGTGACTATTGTGTTCATCAGAGACAATAAACTTACCACAAACACTACAATGTACATAAGAATACAGAATTATATGAACATGGTTGCTGATGATGCTAAGATACTAGGGAAGATAAGAAATTTAGACGACTGCCACACCCTTCAAGAAGACCTAGAGAAAATAAGTATGGAGCTACACTTGGCAAATGAAATTCAATGTGAATAATTGCCATGATATAGCAAGTGGAATAGGAGAAAATAGACCCCACACAACCTAAAAATTATGTAAAAAATCTTTACTGAACATATGGCCCTGAAAGACTAACCATATTGCAAGATGGGGATTTTTAGTATCACTGCTACCTTATTCACTCTTGTGTTCATGATGATATCCTCATAATGCACCCAGAGTTTGCCAGTGCAGACTACTTATCACATGCCTCTGTATGACTAACCATCCTGTGTGATGGGGATTTTAGCATCATGTAGCTAGTTTTTTGACACACTGTACTCCCCTTCATAGTCTCGGCTAGCTGCACAAATGCAGTTGTACCCAAATGTGTTAATAATAAAAAAAAAATCTGATAGAGATCTAGATAGAAAACTGTCACCTAAGGACCACAAAGAACATTGTGCAAGGAGCCTATGCTACTCTTTCCAATTTAAGAATTACTTTTAAATACAAGGATGATGAAATACTAAAGAAATTGTTCACAACCTTTATTAGACCAAAGCTGGAATATGCAGCAACAGTCCCAGAGTTACTTTTTTGGGCAATGTGAGACATTTGAGCATGTTTCCTTACACCTAATGTCTTTGTTCACCTAGCAGTAAATAGGTACCAGGGAATTAAGTAACTGTTAAAGGTTGCATCCTGAAGGTGGCTGTTGTCCTAGGCAGAGGAGGGACCTCAATAAGTGCAACATCCATCATCATGTCCCTGACAATGGCAAACCAACTTAACTTGACAGCTGCTATCAATCAAGATGGAAATCCGCAGATTTTGTGCAGATACCATAAATCCCAGCACGACACCAACCATTCTTAACGCCCTAAATAATTCAATAAAATAACTTGACAGAATGAGAAAATATGTTTAACTGGTCACCTTCTATCTCCTGTCAAAAGCCTCGAAGAATGGCATCACAGAAAATCGTCATCCTCCAAAGCCAGCGATAATGCATATTTAAAGCCAACCACCTGTTCTCAAGCTCCATAAGCACCAAACATGAGAAAAGCCTTGCATGGCACGAAAACAAACACATCAAAATAAAAACAAACAATTCGGAGCCAAACGTCAAAGGTCCAGTGGATCAGTCAACGCCCAATTCTCTATCAATTTCTGGCCGAGCAGAGCCTCCAGGTAGCCGCCACAGGGCCTGGCCCCTCCCTCCGCCGCCTCAAGGAGACCCTCTCATATAAATAACTCCACTTGCCTCAGCCTAGAACCCATAATTGAAGAAAATAGGCGGTGTCCCACTTCATGGCCGCCAGATGTCTCCGCCTTATTTATCTTGGGTGTTGCTCTCACCGCGCCGCCCGCCGCTGCCTTCACCGTGGTTTTTCTTCCATTCCATAATTGACTATACAGTAGATGTATATATGTGACTGTATATAGGTCATATATATTTATATAAAATCATACTCTGATATGGGATATATGATTAACTTATAACTCTTGATGTATACTCTGTAATATTTATATAGAATATGGGGTAGCTACACACCGCTGTGTACCTAATTTAAGCTTGTTAATTAATTAATAATAATAATAATAATAATAAAGTACCCAGCTTCACTGGCTTCTCAATTAATAGTCTTTCACAGTATACACTTGCATTTGGACATATTCGATGGCATTATATGCAGTAGTAGCCAATTTACTAACGTTTATATTTTTTACTAAATTATGTATTATATAACAAATTTTATGTGTTTAAGTGTATCCTAATTATTAGATAAGGACTTAACTTTGCACAGACACCATATATTTTAAACTAATTATTGTTATAGCAATATATTCTTCTGCACTCTATTCACTATTGTAGCATAATATATTAATTGGCGTTTCATTAGATCAGACTATAGTACCCGAGCTGAGGGGCATGAGCTACGAGGAAAGACTTAATTGGTACTAAACCTCACGTCGCTAGAAGACAGAAAGGTTAGGGGAGATATGATCACCATCTACAAGATTCTCAGTGGAACTGATATGATAGATAAAGACATATTATTTAATACAGGTGGCATACGCTCAAGGGGACACAGGAAGGAACTATCAGAAGCGCCAAGCCATTACGACTATATAGCACTGGGAAGGGGTCAGGATAAGTATTTGAGATGGGACGGGGGGAAGGAATAGTGCCTAACCACTTGGACTGTCGGGGATTGAACGTCGACCTGCATTAAGCGAGACCGTCGCTCTACCATCAAGCCCACAGGTCTAAACGGAGTCAGAGTTAACAAATGGAATGCATTAGGCAGTGATGTAATGGAGGCAGACCCAATCTACAAACAAGTTTCAATTATGGATATGATAGAGCCCAATAGTCTGCAGCTATAAAATCATCAGGGGAAATGGAGGGGGACCTGTGACAACCCGCCGGCTTTATGCACTCGTCTAAGCCACTAGAAAAACAAGGCCCCTCAGGAAAATTCTGGTAAATGTTACCTGAAATATATGTACAGTATGCTCAATTTTCTGTGCTGGCGTTTGGAATGGGGGGGGGGGGGTACTGCACTTATTTATTAATTAATATTTATTAATAACAGATGTTCTTTATGACCAAAAATAGAAACGTATAATTTTTCAAAATGTCCAAAATCCCGAAAAATTACGTAAATACATATAAAATATAGTATTTTCTTAAACTGCCGCTCACAGGATGAGTATGGGGTACATAATAAACTACCGCTCACAGGATGAGTATGGGGTGCATAATAAACCACCGCTCACAGGATGAGTATGGGGTGCACAATAAACTACCGCTCACAGGATGAGTATGGGGTGCATAATAAACCACCGCTCACAGGATGAGTATGGGGTGCACAATAAACTACCGCTCAGAGGATGAGTATGGGGTGCACAATAAACAACAGATAACAGGATGAACACGGGGTGCACATTAAATTATCGCTCACGAGATGAATGACACAAGACGCTCAGCCATCAACATATACTACTCTCAAGAACAGCACACCTTCAGCGATCATTGATCATTCCTTAGCTGAGTACCGTTAGGGACATGTTCACTCAATTAAAAGTAGACACATGTGAAATTAATTAATCAGCTGACCGTGTATTGCCTCTGTTACACCGCTGGCTCCGGCTTCATCCTGTATCTAACGTATTTGTAAATTAGCATTAAATCTAGTTTAATGAATGAAAGCTAATAATTATAAGCTCATGAAATAAATAACTTTTTAGATCAGGCTTTATAAATAAGCTGATGTAGCATAAGAGTAGATAACCTGCAGGAGCATGTAAAAATACCGGCACCATTTGTAGTGAACATAGTAAGTGAACTTCTAGAATTTCTAGTGAACATTTCTTAGTTTCAAAATAAGAGAGAGAGAGAGAGAGAGAGAGACAGAGACAGACAGACAGAGAGAGAGATTGAGAGAGAGAGAGAGAGACAGAGACAGAGACAGAGACAGACAGACAGAGAGAGAGATTGAGAGAGAGAGAGAGAGAGAGAGAGAGAGAGAGAGAGAGAGAGAGAGAGAGAGAGAGAGAGAGAGAGAGAGAGAGAGAGAGAGAGAGAGAGAGAGAGAGAGAGAGACAGAGAGAGAGAGAGAGAGAGGGGGGGGGGTAGCAGTGGCCCCCCAGGATGAAGCCAGACGGTCAGACACCTTGGCTTCCTCCTCCACAGGACCTCGTTAACTAGGAGTCTCTTTGTCTCCAGACGTGGCCAACAACTCGACTTAGGAAGAGTGGTGCGTATTCATACCAACAATTACCCTTTGTCAGCTATTGTATCCAAGGTCATGTAACTGATCGCTGACGGTTTCCTGAGCGCTTAATATTCGCACGCACCAGAGTTGGGCGAAGAGTTTGGTCATACTTTATTTGAGCACAATACATGCAAAGGTGCATTTTTATTGTATAGCAAGATCTATTTAGACAAGCCATATACAAAAACAATATTGAGAATGTAGCTAAGGTCTAAAAATAACAATTACTTGGGTAATAAAAGTTGCAGAGAAAGGTCTGGGAATGATATGCCCCCACAGGTCCCATTCATGCCCCCGACCGCTGTACTCAACCTGCAACGCGGCCTTAAAAATGCAACATGGCGGCGGTAGTGACGTAGTGCGTGATCATTGGGTGCTCACAGTGAGTGACGTCACCAGCACCCAGCCTGCCCATTGGCTGACCCGCATTTCAACTTGTGTTTACACCTGGGCTAGAGAGCAGCAGCAGGTGCACAACATGTGAACCCTCGGCCCAACCTCTTTCTCCCCGGCTTGTACACCCCTCACAGGTCAGTGAGAAGCAGCCTTGTGGGTGGGTGGGAGCTGGACCAGACACCTCTTTAAGATGTAGGAGTCTTGGTGAGACGAGAGGCTGAGATACTGGAGGGAGATGTGGGTGGGTTACACTAGGAGCTTTGAGAGGTAGTGTTCGCCTGAGGACACTCCACTCTCACTAGCTTTCTTTTGACCTTAATATACTCTAGTACTGTCTTGTCCAAACTTAGTATGGAGATTTTTAAGTTCTTTAGTTTTGTCATGATTTATATTGGACGTGGATATTTCGTAGCTGGTTGTAACAATTAGTATTAAGGTGTTTGTATTATCTGAGTGAAGAGTTAAAGGAACGTGTATGTTCGTGTTGCCAATTACAGTGTGGAGGTAAATGTACAGTACAGTACTAATTGTGCTCTTTATCTAAAACCTTTTGAGAGTTTATGTACAAAACTGTAGTGGTTTAAATAGTGGAACAAAGCTGTTAATTCTGTAATGATTGCTGGCCAGGTGTATACCAGCTACAGATGTGTGTTTAATATTCTATATATAAGAGTCTCAACAAAATTATTTTATGCAATGACTGTAGTTGTTATTTTTGTTAACCAATAAAGACTTGGAGAATATGGATGTAGATGGATGCCAGTGGATGTAGATGGGAGCTGCCAGTGGATGTAGATGGGAGCTGCCAGTGGATGTAGATGGGAACTGCCAGTAGATGTAGATGGGAACTGCCAGTAGATGTAGATGGGAACTGCCAGTAGATGTAGATGGGAACTGCCAGTAGATGTAGATGGGAACTACCAGTAGATGTAGATGGGAACTGCCAGTAGATGTAGATGGGAACTACCAGTAGATGTAGATGGGAACTGCCAGTAGATGTAGATGGGAGCTGCCAGTGGATGTAGATGGGAACTACCAGTAGATGTAGATGGGAACTGCCAGTAGATGTAGATGGGAACTACCAGTAGATGTAGATGGGAACTACCAGTAGATGTAGATGGGAACTGCCAGTAGATGTAGATGGGAGCTGCCAGTAGATGTAGATGGGAGCTGCCAGTAGATGTAGATGGGAGCTGCCAGTAGATGTAGATGGGAGCTGCCAGTAGATGTAGATGGGAACTACCAGTAGATGTAGATGGGAACTGCCAGTAGATGTAGATGGGAACTGCCAGTAGATGTAGATGGGAGCTGCCAGTAGATGTAGATGGGAGCTGCCAGTGGATGTAGATGGGAGCTACCAGTGGATGTAGATGGGAGCTGCCAGTGGATGTAGATGGGAGCTGCCAGTGGATGTAGATGGGAGCTGCCAGTGGATGTAGATGGGAGCTGCCAGTGGATGTAGATGGGAGCTGCCAGTGGATGTAGATGGGAGCTGCCAGTGGATAGGAGCTGCCGGTTGAGCTAAATTATAATTAAAGTTTACCTACTATTTTCAAAATAATTGTGTATTAATTCCATATATTTATTAATAATTTGTCACTTGAATGCACAGTATGCATTGCTCCAATTATTACATAATTCAATTAAATTTCCTACAGTACCTGCAGCATGACGGCAACACAGACCAATGCGGGCTTGACAGCGCTGGATGGCTTGCCCAAGCCATTCGTGAATGCTATGAGAACATTATTTGACATAATGGATGACCAACGCACTGGTTATGTTAAGTTTTCAGGTGAGAGATTTATCTCGGTTAACATCACGAGAGAAAGTTTCCTAGCTTCTTGTAGTGTAAAGTCATGGAAATTATTTTTATTTACATAATGCATAATTATTTTGTCTCAAAAGGGGGAAATCCAAGAATGTTTGTGTCTTACATTAAGCTTAAGTGTTCTATTTATCAGGTAATTTCAAAACTAAACTATTTGGGCTACCGTTACTGATTGTTCTAGTTTTCTCACCTGTTGCACAAACTAATTTAGTTCATAAATATTTAATATAATTTAAAAAATATAAACTTATACTTTTTAATTTAAACACGGCATTGGCTCTTGTCGATATTATTATAAGATATAATTCAGTAAAGTTAAGTCTTTAATACAGAAATTGAGCGCCGATGGCAAGATGATGGAGCCCAAGGAATGCCTCGGGGAGTGCTGGCCAGTCTTCGTAAAGTGACTCCTCCTGATGGTTACCTCTCCTTTGAACGTTTTTGTGCTGGCCTGCAGGTGAGATTTTTATGGAATTTTAACATGTACAATCCACTACATTCTAAAGTATAAGAAGGGCTAATTCCTTCAAAGTTAATACCTGGGACTGGATATACTGTTCTGTAATGCCAACACTAACACTAGAAGCTGATATGGACAGGATAACATCATTGGCATGTGGCAAGATAGAAACTTGCAAGTGGCAAGTCAGCATTTAAAAATCTAAGGAAGGAGGCTTTTCAATTCATATACCTGGTTGATGGGGTTCTGGGAGTTCTTCTACTCCCCAAGCCCGGCCCGAGGCCAAGCTTGACTTGTGAGAGTTTGGTCCACTAGGCTGTTCTTGGAGCGACCAGCAGGCCCACATACCCACCACAATTCGGTTGGTCCGGCACTCCTTGTGTTGGGTCATTGGTGTATTATGCAGCACGGGCATGTAATCCACACCTGAAGAACAAAAGGAAACTTGAGAAAGTGCAGATCAGTACCAGAAATGAGAGTTCAACTATGAAGTCAGGTTAATAGAACTCGAGCTCACACCAAAGAGGAGTGAAAAAATAGAGGGGATTTGATATTTACATAGAAGACACGCATGGGAATAAACAAGATGAACAAGAAGTCTATTTAAACTAATAAGTATACTAATTCAAAGTACAGTATGTCAAAGAGGATATCACTAGATATTGGATGTGCAATTAAATCAGAGATGCAAGGAAATTGTCATGCACTCTACGGAAGGTTGACTAGGGGAATGCACTTAAAGAAGATATCAAAGCCTCTTCCAGCCAGAAAAAATATGATTGAATGTCGAGATATGCAGTAAGCACACCAGGCATAAAAGGCTAGGAGACAGGATAATAAAATGTAGATCTTACTGGTAATCACTGACAGGAAAACACAGCAGCCCCTGATTATGACATCAGTCTAAATTCACTTTACTCTCTATACTCATTATATAACCTGTACTCATTACAGCCCCTATATTCATCATTGTAACCATTTTGCCCCAAGATAGGATGATTTGGGGGATAGAGTACCTCTTGATCAGCTACTGTCTAAACACACGTACAGTACCTGTAGTTAGTAGCAGACAAAGCAGCATGCAGAGTGACACATGAAATGCATTTACTGATGTTTAGATCTAAAATACAAGCATGGATAATTTCGGTCACCAAGCTATCTGGCAAAGTTTTCCATCCACACCACAGTACTCTGAATGTTACAAGCATTATGATATGTAAATTAGATGGTAGGCAATGACTAGAAATAATTAAAAATTCTTTAACATTATATATTATTGTCTACCAATAATGTGTTGGCGTCTTCTTTTGATAATTACTCACTTCCCAATAATGCATTGATCATTGTATTCACTATAGATATTTTGTAATCAGATCAGTTTATTACGCAACAAGATGGAAGACCGACCAGCCGGCTCATCTAATAATGTGATTCCACCACCAAAACTACCACCAGTAACGTCTATGGGACCTCCACCTCCTCCTCCACATATTCGACCACCTTCTGCTCCTCTTCTGGACCAGGTTAGAATACTTAAGTATATGTAAATGGATATTGTTTTCATATGTATATCAGCTGAAGTGGTGGCAGATGATTTTTCATGCTGGCTTTGGCAGCACCTGCTGTAATGATTGTCTATGCTGCATTGTATTATATTAAACAGTTCAATTTGAATTGAATTGTGTAATGTACCATTAAAAAAGTAAATATTTTGTTATATAAATTATATAACTTTTTCAAGTATATTTTAGAACGTAAAGTACTGTTAATATCTTGTTTTCCATAATACAGTATACAGTGGTACCTCTGCTTACGAATTTAATCCATTGCCAGAGACGGTTTGCAAGCCGAAAATTTGCAAACTAAAGTGAATTTTCCCATAAGAAATAATGTACTGTAAATTATATTAATGTGTTCCACACTTCCCCAAAAATTAACTTCAAAGTAAATTTTATACCTAATTCACCCAAATCTTCAGTACTAAAGTATGTACAAGTTATTACTTACCGTTATTGATGGCTCTTGTTGGCGTATGGATTACGATGGATGCCTGGGAGTTGGACAGCTGCTACGGGCTGCTTCCTGGTGGGGGTGTAACAAAAAGGAGACCTGGCCGAGTACTGGGTATACCCTAATTGTTTTTTTCATTAATACAAGATCTTAAATTTAAATAATTGGTCTTATGCAAGTGGATATTTTATTACCGAAGTAAATAAATTGTTTGTCCATAATCTACACATACAAGTACTGTATGATAATTACATATTTAATATGGGATTATTTACTATACCATTATAGTTGTTCTTCTATTTTTGTCAGACCCAGTATATTTTGTGTTCTCTATTAATTCTCTAAAAATTTAAATAGTAAATTTTTTCTAATTTTAGGAGCAGCATCCAAAGCAGCCATGCACAAATTCTGCCATGCGATCAGGTGTGATCTCTCAGCATGTTCGTGCAGAGAGAGCAATGTCTATGCCTCATTTAGACGAGCCAGTCAACCATCATGAACCAAACACACATCACGGCTATGATCCAGATCCACGTGTGCATTCAAACAAATCTGATGTTAAGATGGTAGCTGGAGGAGTCATGTCCCATTCTAAGTCGATGGGAAACATGGCGGGTCCTCCAAAGCCGCCTCGAGTAATGGAGCGGGAGCGAGGAACCCATAGCTTAGATCGACACTTGGAGACTCGTGGCATGGGTGAGCATGGTAGAATGCCCGGTGATATTCGAGCTACCCATTCATTGGAACGAGATCGTTCTGAAAGAAAGTGGGACAATGATGGAAGTGAATGGACCCGCAGAGATAGGTAACCACCCAATTTGTTAAAATATTGATACCGTACATGCATACCTCATTTAACACTGCCCTGCACAATAACGATTCAATTATAGAGCCTTTTTTTAGCAAAATATAGAGTGGGGGAGGGGGGGAGAGTAGAGTAAATGGTGGGAACAGACACCAGAATACATAAACAGCAGACATATACAGCAACTTGTTCACACCTCTTTTGAAGGAGTTTCATGGATCAATGTCCCAGTGGCTCAGTCTCTGATCAGGCTTTTTGGTTAGCAGTCGGCACTAACAAACTGTTGGATGCTGAAACACTACTGCACAGTCTTACCTATGTATACATAAATAAAATAATAATTTATTATTACATGTGTTTAGAGATGATGCAAAATTGCTAGGAAGAGTCAGGGACTTGGATGGTTATGTTGTCCTCCAAAATGACCTAGACAAATTGAGTGCAGCCACACATGGTAGATGGAAGTCAATGTAAACAAATACACATAATAGAATGCAGAACCAGTTAAAACGGACCATATTTAACCTATAAATTATGTGCAAAATATTAACACTTTCGCGTTCTCCGCGAAGGTCAGGGAAACAACCGTAAGTGCTCACAGCGTTTTGCCGTGTAAGCGTAAAAACAAAAATGTGTATACTCTTTTTACTCTCATGACCTTAGTTCTCGAGTTACGTATTTCATTTTGGTACCAACGTGTTCGCAATAAAATTCTCTAGAAGAACATGAGTAAAAAAAGTCACGAAACATATAGGGATACCAGCACCAAATAAATAACTACGAAGATGACTCGCCGTGAGCGCCCAACAACAAAAAAATTTTTTTACTCTTGGGATTGTTATCACCTCCACACTTGTCCTACAGCGTTAATTTTGGTATCCATGGACTCGCAATGAAATTCCCAACATGGTGATATGAATATAAGCGTAGAATAATGATTGCAGCCCGCCCGCAAGAGTGTGGGAAGTGGTGAAATTGTTACCCGGTGTCGGTGACGGGACGACGCACGGCGCTTTGAAAGTTTATACTTATTTCATTCTCATGACATTATTATTCTATGTACGTCATTCATTTTTGTGTCAATGTGTTCGCAATAGAATGTTCTATGAGCCCGTAGGTAAAAAAGATCAACAAAGCGTAAGATAGAATAGCGCCAAATATAAAACAACGCTGGAACATATCAGTGAGAGTCAAACACACACAAAATGTTTTTACTTTTGTTATGTTTGTGAACCTTTCATGAACTTATTGTACAATGCAGCCTAGTGGTGAGAAAGAGAGCCTCATGGCGCGCAGTTTGAAACAAACCCAAAGTAAATCGGATAAAAATTGAATTTTATACAAATATTTTAAAAGAGGACATAAGTTTATGTCCACTATGCGGTAGCGTTAGGCGAAACAGGACTCCTCGGTGAGTCCGGTTAGTGTTAATTAAAAGTGTTAATTAAAAGCCTTTGATAATGAAAGAGACCTACAATTGGTTCTGGATAGTAATCCCTCACCAGAAGACCACATTAAGAGCATTGTGAGAGGAGCTTACATTATACTAGTCAATTTTGGAACCACATTTAAGTACAGTATATAGATGGAGAAATATTCAAGAAACTGTTCATACAATTTGTAAGATGAAAATTGGAATATTCAGCAGTCATACGGTGCTCATATCTTGAGAAGCACACAAACAAATAGGTAAAGGGTGCAAATACATGCTACTAAATAGCTTTTAGAGCTTTAGACAGGAACTATCAAGAGAGGGCGAAGGCATTAAAAATCCCAAGATTGGATGATAGGAAAGGTGGTGATATGATTATTATATTCAAAATAGTAACATAGATCAACAAACACAAAGGAATTTTTAAACTTACAACCTCAAGAACAAGAAGTCATAAGCTCAACCTAAGGAAACAAAGGTGCCAAAAAATGCAAGAAAGTTCTCTTTTTTTTTTTTTTTTTTTTTTTTTGCAAACAGTGGTTGAGCATTGGAACAAGTCAAGTGAGAAGACAGTGGATGCCAAAACTGTCAGTGGTTTTAAAGGATTGTATGACAGAATACTGGGAAGATAGGACACCGTGAGTGTAGCTCTCTTTCAGTAATCACATAGGAAATTAGACACACCACTCACCCCTTCTCTTCCTATGAATGTCATATAGGAGGAGCTGCAATGGCGAGTTTGACAGTGACAAATTTATACCACACCAATCTTGTTTATACCATGCCAGTCTTGTTTATAAATGATTGTGTTTTAAAACCATAAAAGGCATTAATTTTTATGCAGTGAGTAAGAGTGCCTATATTATGTACAGTATTTATAAAATCATGTTTATCATCTGTTATTATTCCAGTAACACAGTAAACCTTTATGTTGGTCCAGATAATAAATTATGAATTTGGGAATGTCTCCACATGGCATCGATCTATAATGACCCATTATAGTGTAGAATCGGCTAGTGCTCCAGTTTCTGCTAATGCATCCTGGGCATTAAATGAGGTATACATGTACAGTATTTGCTCAAAGTTTAATTGTTTACTGTTTGCATTGATAAGCTGGTTCCAGCACTAAATTTCAAGATTACTGTACTGGGACCATCATGCTTGCAGTACGTACCCAAGGAATTGTCATTATTCTTACTTATTCAAATGATCGTCGGTTATCTATTTTTGGGGATAGTTTATTTAGATACCGTACTGTACTTGAATTAAGATTATACAGTATACATTTTTTTCAACACATTTTTTTTGTATTTGTAGGGAACGTAGTGAACATCCAGAATTTCGGCGTGAGCGTGGCTCTAGTCTTGAGCGACTATTGGACTCTGATGATAAAGGAAATTCAGTCCCACTTGGACGAGCTGGGATTCGGTCTGCCCTGCAGACTTGGCACAAAGAAAGAAGCAGAGGAGATAGTGGAGATAATAATAATACATGTAATAATAATAATAATAAGAATGTGCCAGTGCTGAGAAAAGAATTTAGAGAGCCAAGGTTTGTGTTTTTTATTTGTACAGCTCTGTATTTGCACTGTACTATTGGTTAGTGCAGTTAGCATTCAACTGATTAGTCCTCAGTGTGATGCCTGGGCAGGATGAAATGTTTGGGCATGTTTTCTTACTGCTGATGTTGCTGTTCACTTTGCAGTAAGTAGGTACCCAGGAGTTAGTCAACTGTTGAGGGTTGAATCCAGGGGGATGGCCGGTCATTGGTTAGGGGAACCTTGATATAGCCAAACAGGCTTCCTGCTCCATAAATGGCAAACCATACTGCTGTTTGTCATACTGATTTAACTTGGATAAAAGGATAGAAAGTTTTTCAAGCTAACTTTAGAATACTAAAGAGGGTTCTCTAGATAACTTTAGAATACTATAGAAGATTTATGTAGGTGATTTGGATAGAACAATACCGCACAGTACATTTCATTGAGACGCTAATATTTTTTTGCTTTCTGCATTTTCTCTTCCTGTTTCTGTTTATTTTACTCAATTTTGTTTATCATTTCACATCTTATTTTGTGCTACAAGATAATTTACAATTTACTAGCCAAATCTCTGAGAATACTATTTTTTTTTTAGTATACTAGAATAGAAATATTTTAGAATATTTTTGAGAATACTATTAGTTTTTGTAAAGGCTTCACTGATAAGGCAGGATTTACAACTTTTGTATATTTTATAAGCTGATCTGATACTTTATATTACTTTGTATATTTATTTATTTATTTACATGTTCAGACAATCACTGGTAATGGAACCTCTCGGTAGAGGAGTAGGAGATGGAGGGGACGGCACGAGAGCAACTGTGGGGACACAGTCTGAAGCTTCCACTGCCACTGCCACAGCGATGATGACAGCAGCACCAAGTGCAGCTCCCACGCACAAAAAGTCCAGCAGGAGACGAGAGCCTCGAAGACATACACTTCAGAATGGAGTTGACTGTAGTATGGTATGATGGAAAATGAAAAATCTAGACTTTGTTTTATTCTGTTATCATTGCTGTAATCCCATAGTTTATCTTAAATACTTTCTAAAATATAAGTACATAGTAAAATCAATAAAGTAAAAAAGTGGTTAGTAGGTAATAATTTTGTTATCAATAGCTGAGACGCTTAAAACAACTGGAGGCTGAACGAGACATGCTGATCCAGGGCTACGAGGTTGTGGAGAGAGCGCGCAGTTGGTACAGGCAGCAGTTGCAGGCCATTTCTGAGAGAATCCACTACTTGCCACAGGGTCCTCCCAAGCATGTTAGTTAAGGTTTTCAAGTATTGCTTCTCTGTAATATCAGCCATTTACTTTCATGTTGTACAGTACCTCGGCTATCTTTAGTCAAGTGATATTTTACACATTAGCATTAAACAGTTTGTTGCAAAATATCTGAAAGAAGGCACCAGTACAGTAACATACTGTATGTGGAAATTATTTTCCAAGTACCTGAAGGAAACATATGACATTTAATATGTAAATATAATGAATACTACATTTAAAGACCATTTTTATTTGTTCAGTTGTAGTTAAATATTGCTGCTAAAAGGTTAAACAAAATTTAATATATGGTGTCATCTATGGTAGTACAAACCAGGTCAAATCCTAGACACTAATGTTTTCTGTCAAGGCTCAACTGTACATTGAAGGTTTGTAAATAATCAGAGGCTTTTAACACTTTCGCGCTCTCCGCAAAGGTCACTCAGCCAACCGAATGTGCGCGCTGCGTTTTTATCGCTTAAGCGTAAAAACAAAAATGTGTATACTCTTTTTACTCTTCTGACCTTAGTTCTCATGCTACGTATTTCATTTTGGTACCAACGTGTTCGCAATAAAATTCTCTAGAAGAACATTAGTAAAATAAGTCACGAAACATATAGGGATACTAGCACCAAATAAATAACTACGTAGATGACTCGCCGTGAGCGCCCATCAGCAACAAAATGTTTTTACTCTTGGGATTGTAATCACCTCCACACTTGTTCTACAGCGTTAATTTTGGTATCAATGGACTCGCAATGAAATTCCCAACACGGTGATATGAATATAAGCGTAGAATAATGATGCAGCCCGCCCGCAAGAGTGTGGGAAGTGGTGAAATTGTTACCCGGTATCGGTGACGGGACGACGCACGGCGCTTTGAAAGTTTATACTTATTTCACTCTCATGACATTAATTTTCTATGTACGTCATTCATTTTTATGTCAATGTGTTCGCAATAGAATGTTCTATGTGCCCATAGGTAAAAAATATCAACAAAGCGTAAGTTAGAATAGCGACAAATATAAAACATCGCTGGAACATATCAGTGAGCGTCAAACACACACGAAATATTTTTACTTTTGTTATGTTTGTCAAGATTATACTTGTTGCACACAGTTATTTTTGGTTGTATATTGATCGGAATAAAATTCCCTAAACAGACATATGCATATAATACATGATATGGGGGAAGAATTACCAGTATAAACGGCTAAAGTCACCCACCTGCAACCAGTTTGGGACAAAATACCATTTGATCGAAGTTATCCACACCTTTCATGAACTTATTGTACCATGCAGCCTAGTGGTGAGAAAGAGAGCCTCATAGCGCGCAGTTTGAAACAAACCCAAAGTAAATCGGATAAAAATTGAATTTTATACAAATATTTTAAAAGTTGACATAACTTTATGTCCACTATGCGTTTACGTTAGACGAAACCGAACGCGCCGGCGCGTCCAGATAGCGCGAAAGTGTTAATTAATATATAAAACACCCTGTGTGTGTGTGTATATATATATATACACATACACACACTGTATACACTGTATATACTGTATATACAGTACTACTATAAGTACAGTGGAGTATAAACATCATTTTAATTTTTATTAGCGTGTATCTTATTTTACTGGATGAGAGCAACACCACACTATAGCAAAACATCCACAAACGTGGAACTAATTCCACCTAGATTTATTCCTGCACCACTTCTTGTGGTGCTTGCTTCACTAACTCATCATGTCTGTCCATCTTATTGGCCTTTCTTTCTCCTCATACCTCTTCAGTACAAACTTCTCTGTTTTACAACTAACAACTTTGCACTCTTACTATGTCCGTGACATTCTTTACTCTTTATTCTATTTACCCTCCAAACAGCAGGAATGCACCTTGGATTATCCTTTCCTCTGCTCTAACTTACTCTTCGTTATTGTGCAACAAGTGTGACGAGGACAGGCAGCACTCCTCCCAGCCATTACCTTCACTGGGTGAGCCACTTTCCTTCCCTGGCTTAATGTCCACAAACTCCTCTGTTGTGGGTTACAGATTCCCCAGGTGTTTATGCTAAATGACCCCTTTAATATAATAATTTCTCTCTTTATACCATACTCTACAACTGTAGCTTTAATTTTGTCTGGATTTACTTTTAAGAGTCTCCCATGTCTTGGACACTTGTCACCAATGAACATATCTCTATAATTCTTAACTAGGACTGCATCATCAACATTCATAATATATTTTATTAGTTGCTGAAATCCAACTTTTTCTAGTATTTTAACCTTGACATTTCTCATCATACATATATACTGTTCATTAAACATTATTAACAAAACAGATTTTGTATACCTCTTACGTGATCTTCAGATTTACCTATCAACATATTGTTACTTAAAGATAAACAGGCCTTCTCGTAGTATTTCTGTTGATGCTGATGAAAACTGATGAACTGTTTCAGGAGCCTAGCTTGGAGGCACAGCAAGAGAAACTGCATTTCCAGCTTGCTCGTATTCATGAAGTTAATGCCCATTTGCAAGCTCTCATGGAAGCAACTGAGCATGGCCTTCCTTCACACATGAATCTAGCCATATGCTCCAATATGCCCTCTGCCTCTGCTGGCAGCAACCACAGGAATACTGGTGGCAGAGGTCAAGGCACTGAATCTGATGACCAAGATCGGGTCGTAGGGCGACTCAAAGACCAGAACCACCTTCTTACTGAGGTCAGTTTGCAGTATAGAGGTCTCTGCCTAGACTGTAGTACTGATAGCATCTCTGGAAATTAATCAGTTGTATGTTTTAAATAGTTTAAATAGAATTTGAATTTTTTCAGACTCGGTCTCAATCTTGCCCAATCACTTGGGCTGGACGGCAGAGGGACGGTCTCGCTTCATGCAGGTTGGCACTTAATCCCCGACTGTCCAAGTGGTTGGGCACCATTCCTTTTCCCCATCCCATCCCAAATACTTATCCTGACTCCTTTCAAATGCTATATAGTCATGATGGCTTGGCATTTTTCCCTGATAATTCCATCCCTCGATCTCGTTCTCATGGAGCAGTCTCCATGCTATGTATGTACAATATATACTGTACTGTGCATTATTTTACAGGTTATACAGGCTTTGTGTGCTAGCTCTTTATTAAACATTCTTGTACTTTTCCAAACTGCAAGTTGGTTGTACCTTGAGGACAACCAGTTGCTTATGATCCTGGTCACGACATGGGGTCCAGGATCCATGTATTTTTGTTTTTCAAAACTGCTGCTGGTGTAAATCTTGAAACAGGTGTGCATGGTGCTGCTGTATGGCGCTGGGTAGTGCTGGTAGCTATGCAGGCAAAGAAGCAATTAATATGAGCCTTCTACTGGCAGTCATTTATCGTGCCAGGATATTGCTTGGAAAAGCTTTTAATTCGATATGAAATATCTGTGTTTGGTCATTCTAGGTAGGATTGTAGGATGTTTTTGAAAACATCCCTCAGCATGCAAACCAAGCACAGTACAGTACTGTAATTGTGCTCAGAAATGTTTTCATAAATTTTCTTAAATCTTTATTTTTTCTGCACTGGTTTCCTTTAGTATATGTTTGTTTATGAATTAAATGTTCTATGTCCTCAGGAAGTAAGCAGTAAAAGCGAGCGCATCACTGTTTTGGAGCGTGAAAAAGCAGCTCTGTTACGAGAACTTTTCCAGTCACGCTCCTCCCATCACCACCTGCAAGGAGCGTCCGCTGACTCAACATTCATGTGATCTGCAGTTATATTAATTAATTAATTTTATGCTCAATGTTCATTAACTATTTTAATTTTGATAAAATGTATTAATTTTAATTTCACCAATAATTATAATAAAGTTAAGCATTTTATTTCCCACATTGACGCTTGGCATACTAAAACGGCATTGAAATTAATTTAGGATTTGTGCCAAAATGCCAAATAATAAATTGTTACATTATTAATGAATTGCCATGACTTGTTGTTTTATAATCAATGGTAACACATTTCTTTGGTGGTTTTCGTGATGTGGGCGCACGGTGTGATCGTATGTTGTGTATTTTTCAGTTATGATCACCTTTTTAACTTATCAGGTTGTACCTTTTGTGGTAGCAATAATAACCATGACACCTTGAACAATTTCTGCTGTTGCTCTCTGGTTGTCTTGCAATTTTATATGACTTGCATGGTCTTCACACCTCAGTTAAGAGTTTCATGGCCTAAATAGTTCACGCTAATGATCTTTCTGTTAAGTCTATTAATTTTACTCACATCTTGTGCATTTTGTTGCATTTCCATAATCATTTCTCATATTATTTATTAACACTTTTGTGTTGTTTTGGGGTGTTGCATAATTTCTTGTTGAAAATGTACCACCTCCCCTTTGCCCACTCTGATTTGCAAAATATTTATACTAATTTTGTCTGCATTGTAAATTTATTTTCAGTATAAGGATAGAACATCAAAGTTGGTATCAAAATATTTGTAAATGAATATTATATAGTACACTGTACTGTACAATATAGAGTACTGTACTTATAAAATAAATTAGATAAAGTTGACCAAACCACACACTAGAAAGTGAAGGGACGACGACATTTCGGTCCGTCTTGGACCATTCTTGATTCAATTGTAACTTGATATACAATCGACTTGAGAATGGTCCAGGACAGACCGAAACATTGTCGTCCCTTCACTTCCTAGTGTGTGGTTTGGTCAACTTATTTCAGCCACGTTATTGTGACTCCTCGTCTGCAAATTGGATAAATAATGGTGGGCATCCAAAGTACCACAGTTTATAAAAAGTTTAAAAACATTACTACATTGTGGAGTTATTTATAGTCATAAATCATTTCTTTTTTATATATCTATATGCACAAATGATTGATCTGTATTGTAGGAAAATGTTTTGCATTATAGAAAAACAAAATATAATTTTGTTTTTTTTTAGTTTAGTTTTTTCTATGAACAAAAAATTAACATAAAGTGTAAATTGCATGCGTTGTCATTGACTGAAGGTGGGTGCTATACATAAATATATTACTCATTTTTGGTTTAAACGGTATTTACTGTACAGGCTTAACGCATTGATTTTAGTATCAAAAAGTTTGGAAATGAATGATATTCAGTAAGATATACAGGAATGGATAACCAATGTCTGTGAGTGTGCAATGAGCCGCCGAGTTTACTAAACATTATCTTCATCTCTAAATTACACAGCTACTCATGGTCACAAATAGTTTTTTTTGTTTATTTGTGCAGTAAATATGCATAAACGATTTGTCTATATTGCTGTAGAAAAAAATGACTTAATGTTTTGATAAATGTTTAATTTAAAATGAAGTGTAATTTGTACACAGTTCCATAGATTTTGATGTGGCTCTGTGCAGTGTGGTGGAGCAGTGGTCTCATAAGGTATGCTCAGTTATGAGGCATGGCATTTAATAATTGAATAATAATTTGTTTTTGTTGGGGGACAGGAAGCCTGAGTATGTGCATATATTCTTTAGGATTGCATCAAGGTGACTTACCCCCACCCCACCCCCGGTCAAACTACTATACTGACCTTTCCCAGGATACAACCTCACAACAGTTATCCAACTCCTAGGTATCTATTTACTGTTAGATGATCAGATGCATTAGGTGAAAGGAAATATACTCAATCATTTCCGTCCCGCCTAGGAATTGAACCTTGGCTTCCTGATTGAAAGTCGAGAGTGAAGCCAGCTGTATTATCGGACCCATTCTGCATCTTTATAATGCAGAAATAATTGTAAATGAAGCAATATAGGATATTTTGGAATGAATCATCAGAATGTGTGTTTCCAGCTCGTGCTTTTGTCACCCTCTATGTTCCAAGCATTTGTTATATTTATCACTTTTTCAACACTGCCAGTATGATAAATTTTGTTAAAACAAATATAGCAGTGCATTGATAAAGGCAGTCATGTATTGAGGAATCTATATGCTTTATATACTGTAAAACATTTGTCGTGGATAAGGGTTGTTATCATTGTTACTGTGTTTAGAGAAAATGTGATTTCTCTGCTAAACACCAAGCCATTAGGTGCCAACAATAATTGTTATTTTATGCTGTGACTGAATTTTAAATTGATGTTGAGAAGTGTGTAAATGCCCGAGTCTATCCAATAAGACGTATGGAGTTGATGTAGTAGTGTATAACATAGAGGAGAGGTGTGTATGGTCTCTACTTTGTTTATTTTGAAGTTTATGATCTCTTTATAATTATAATTGTGAAACTGTGTGTCAGCTGTTTGAATGTGCATTGTTTTATCTGCAATATATGCAAGAGTTGTCATGTTGGACATGATTTTGTCATGCCAATCCTCTGATGGCTATACTACTAACCATGAATAAGTATGATACTAATTCAACACATTCCTTGCACAATATTTACAATGATTTATTAACTTTCACTGTTGGTTATATGAAGTTTTTGTATTTGATAATGCATTTTTAAATCATTTTTTGTTTGAAACATTTATATTTTAAAGTTGCCAAACACAAAATATTGTACTGTATAATGTAAACTAATAATTAATGCTTGAATATTTAAAAGTAAGAACAAAAATGTAATTATTTCTAGCTGATGTAAAATTCAGTTAAGATGCAGACTGTGATAAAGGTTTGAAGCGCAGCTAACACAGCAGTGACGCCTCGCACTATCATATTTCTATCTGATATTAAACTGTTCATTTTTATCTCTTTTTTTTTTTTTTTTTTTTTTTTTTTTTTAAAGGATTTTAAGTGTTTTGAAAATAAATTATATAATTTATTGATTCTTATATTTATATATATATATACTGTATAGATTAGTTCAAAGCTTCAAGGGACTGCCAAAGAAAAGTTCCAGATTTTTTTTTTTTTTTAACGAAAGGTAGAGCAAATTGACAGTCTGGGTGAATACAGAAGTGATACTTGAAATGTTTTTACATTCATTCTATTATATTTCTTTAAGTATTCCAGACTTCAGTTTTATCAGTGTAGTAGGTCAACCTATAACCTTATCATGGCAGAAGCCTTAGGAGATTGTTCTTTTTGAAACAGGTTGTGTGCAATAAAGTACATATTAAGTGCCTGCTACCCTAATTGACCCCTCACGGATGCTACCTCAATGTGGTGAAGGAGCATTTACACACCATTCTCAGTTGACCAAGGGTAGCTACGGCTTCCTTCTCCTGCCCATTGCAGTAGTGTGCAATGAAAGCACTTGCTGTGATAGACTTGCTGAATAGGAATGGGGGTCTTTGCGCTGGTGTAGGCGAGTTGCTCTTACTCAAGTCTCTTATATGAGTGGTCTAATATGTTAAACTGGGAAATACCACTAGGATAGAAGTATCCAATCTGCACATGCTCGTGCTTGGCCTCCCTCGCTACCCTGGTAGGTGGTATCCCATGATCCCAGGTCAAACTTTATCAAATTCTTTCAGAGCAACTTCGCTCTCTCTCTTCCTCTGACTCATGTGGTGGGTGACCAGGCCCCTCAGGAAGATGTGCTCTTTCCTTATAACCTGCTCACCCTATAGTTACTGTTGTGCTGGACCCTGACCACTGTTCGTAACCTGATAACTTTGACATCGCTTGTCTTGTGTGTCTGCTCTCTTATTGGCATCCTCATGATATTTTGGACTTTTTCACTATTCTGCAACACAGATGGTGGTAAATAGTCATCCCACCTTGGTGCCTTCTTTTGATAATTGTCCTAATTGAAAAAGTATTTGAACATACTCATAAGAAGGGATATGTGTACATTACTTAAAAATAATAACTATGTAACATCACATTCCATTTGTTAATTTTTTTTTTTTGTTACAACTTTCCCCAATTTATAGCATAAGCTTCTAATGCAGCAATATTGCTTGCCGTCTGTAAACTGTGATTACCAAATAAACTCCTGGTTTAATCCCCTGTATTGATTTATGCAACCTCACCAAATAAAACCTTTTATTTAATGAAGACCTGCTTTTATATTTGGTTTAACCATTCTCATATAACTTAGGGTACTAACAAATCTATTGTGTAAATTGTGTAAAACATTATAAAGACTTTGTGTGTTGTCAAAGATTGCTGAAATTTAAGTATTGTACAGTAAAAATTTTCAGATGAATAATGTAATATCCCATGCTTTGTAGTGAATAACTTCAGTGTTTAGGAGTTCAAACTTGTACCGTGTTCCAGATACTGTACTTAAATACAGTACAGTATAACCTCGATTCAACGAACTGTACGGGACCGACCCCAATTCGTTGCAATGCGGGATTCATTGCAACCAGAGATGCCTCCAGGGTTAGCTTGTGGATAGTGACAGCTGTACTAAATGATGATTGTTTGAGTCTGGATTCTGGACATGATTCAATTTGAAAATTTGTACAGTGAAGATTTTTAATTATAAAATCTCGATTTTGAAGATTACACTACTGAGCATACACCTCTGATATTAACAATTTATGGTAACATATTATCCTGTTAAATACTGTATATTTATATAGTTATGAATTACCTTCAACCTCGATCTGACAGTTCCTGCGACAGTGCTGGAACCAATCGTATTGATGTTTGTCTTTTCATTGGAGACTTTATTGCTGTAGAGAAGGGGCACCTGCTGCATGGGTAACAGCTTCTTCCCCGTATTAACCCACCATGGCTTTGCGCCCTGGAGAGGACACTCCAGACCGACAACCAGAGCACAACTCCATAGTCTCTTGAGACTGATGGATGCCTACTACTGTACTAAATGGGGTATCCAGGTGGGTTTAGGCCACTTCTCTCTCTTCCCCCCTCCCATGGGAAAATGTGCTCAAGTAACACTGAATCAATGTTTTGTCAACATTGATAACAGCAAAGTAAGTAATTCTCAAAAGAAGGCACTAAACTGGGGTGATAACCTCAAAAAATTAAGTTAGAAAACACTATGGACATTCTAACCCACATTTCAGAGGCATCATTGGTTATCACAATAGGAGCCAATCCCAAGATGGGCATTGGGTTGACCCCCAACTACCCCAAACACTATATAATCAATCACACTTCACTATGAAAGCTGTGCGAGGCTAACCACAACCATTCGGTCTTCAGCCTCGGACACATTCTCTTACAAATATACACAGAGGGGCCTGATAACCGAGTGGCCAGCACTCTGGACTCTTAATGCTGAGGTCCGGGTTCAATCTCCAGTGATGGCATAAACAGTATGGACAGAGTTTCTTTCACCCTGATGCCCCTGGAAGTTTGAATTTGTTTGAATTTGAAGTTTCAATTGGGAATAAGTCAAAAATATATTTGTATTAAAAATTTATATCAAATAAATAACTGTACACAAAACATACAATACTACACATAAATAAAGCTTCCCTTTAGTGGAAGGTCAATTCTCGGAGGAGCCTGGGAATCATTACAAATAAATATCGTACCTAATAGCCAGAGTTGGCTAGCAAGCAAAATTTTTGTGAAATATTTCATTTTCCAAAAATCTTTCTTATGAAATGACAAAGTTTTCATTCTATTATATATGATTGTAATTTTGAGTCAAAAATAAAAAATTTGATCAAACCTAACATAACCCAATATAACTTAAGTCAGTAATTCATGTTCTTAATATAATTATTATTGTTAGAAAAGAAATATTTGAAAAAAATTAAAATCATTCTGCCTGTTAGGCAAATTCGACCTTGCATAGTAGGCCAAGTACTGCAGTTTTGGCTATTAGACACGACAAATACGTACTGTGGATAAAAAATGAATTGCTTTATGTACAAACTAATATATACAGGTATATATATACTGTATATGCAAGATATTTTAATTCTCTGCCATTTTACCTAGTCACCTTGCTGATGCCACTCACTTCGTGAGAATACAAAGCTCCAAAAATCATGTACACAATTATTACAATTTATAACTCATGTCAATAGGTACTACATTCTATTTCTACCATCTTTCACATTTAGGGTGGCAGAACACTAACGTGGCCAGAGACAGATAGGCATCGGTATATCAGGTTGGGTATATACAGTATATATTTTTTTTCTGGCTGCTAGGAGGCTTCCTTTTTAATGGGGTGAGCCACCATTAACTGAATATTATGTATTAAATGGAGAACAAGATATTTATATTTCCGATTAACCCTAGAATCAGGAAATGGGACTTTCTAATAATAAGTTCAATTGTGTTCACCTTTGAATAATTTACAATCAAACCTCTAATCATTGAATCAGTCAAATTATTTGGAGTTATGTCTATCACAGCAACCAATACAACAAAGTCCATTCTTATGAAATAATATTTTTCATGTGATATTTATCATCAAATACACTGTTAAAAAACTACATTCTTGTCATTTGCAAGGGAATTAATACAACTTATATACAGTACTGCACTAATCAAATCTTCAATCATCAAATACCACATGTCTTAAAAAACTTGTTCTAACAGAGTGAGACCTCCATGGGGCAAGCAGTCTGTTTCACATAGAAAAAAAACTCTTTGTTCTGATGTACAATATACAAATGACAAAGTTAAACTGAGATTCATATAACAGACTGTTTACAAACCTTAGGTCTTGGAAAGTATGTATGACATTACAGTACACAATAATGATGGGTGCATACAATTGAAATACAGGCATTGTGAACTATGTTAAAGACAAGAACTCTTATCTAGTTCCAGTAGTATAACAAATCAAATTTTTTGCACACCATGTCTAGAACATTGTCTTGTGATTACTATTTTGTGTTTGATATTAAAACATGTTATATATGTTATATTTTCGTAAACTGGAATTCAAATTACAGTATAGTATATGTATTATTTTTCATTGTTTCAATATGACACAAACAATTTTAACTTTTATATAACATCTATTGCTGAACAAACACTGCTTGCAACCAGAGCTCCAGGACGGCCACCTTTAAATTAAAAAATCACACACCAGTAATAAAACCGATCTCAAGACTAATTTAAAACTAAAATTGCACCCCGTCTTCAAATTGAGAATAATTTGGGTGTATAGCAGTCTAGACCAGGAAATTTACAGCGAATTAATATTGCTACAAAAAAAAAAAAAAAAACACACACCAGTAATAAAACCGATCTCAAGACTAATTTAAAACTAAAATTGCACCCCCGTCTTCAAATTGAGAATAATTTGGGTGAATAGCAGTCTAGACCAGGAAATTTACAGTGAATTAATATTGCTACAAAATTTCCTTCATATATTAAAGTAACAAATTTAATTAAAACAATATGCAATGATCAAAAGGAGTCAGGCCAGGAAGACTATGTAGCACCATCCATACCACCGAATATTCAAGAGACGCTAAATATCACTCATGATGCCAATACGAGAACAAAAGGATACAAGGCTAGCGACACCAAAGGTATTGGATTCACAAAGAATTCTACCACGGAACAGATGACCCCTAGGGACATTAGTACGAAAACAAGATATATGATCATAACAAAAATTAATATTAATGATAAAATTCAGTAATTTAAATTCCTAAAACAGAATATTAAAGTGATAGGCCTATTGCCTTAAAAATTTGGGAAATGGGGAAAGGGAAAATTTCTTCCCACAGTACACAACTTTCAATTAATCTTCTAATTGTATATTGTATGTAATACAGGTATACACCTTTTTTCTGAAATAGTTGACTGGTAGGACACAGTGAAATTAAAAATATACTGTGCATTATCAATACTACCACAGTAATCCTTTGACATCACTTGTCTGGGTGTTCTTATAATGGCATCCTGAGGGATGTCCAAAAAAATTTTAATACAGGTATTGTGTGACAGACTGCATTAAATACTATTCCAGGTCTGATGTCTTCATTTGACAATTACTGTATTTACTTATGCACAATAATATGAATAATACCACTTATGAAATAAACTTCTACACAAAGAATGCCTAATGGTAAGAATGGAAGACCAAATGAATGTACAAGGACGGAACAAATGTTCTACAACAATTTGACTTTCATACACAATTGGTTTGGAGAAAAATGTGAATCAAAACCAGGCCAACTCTACCAATAATCTTTGTTTCTCGACATATTTTTCAAGTTTATGATAATCTACATTTGTTATATTTTGGCAGTAAATGATATGTAAGGTCTCAAGTGGGTTGTTAAGTCGTATTACGTATCTAATCGACTCTATGGTAATATTTTTACACTGAGTCAAGCTGAGGAGTCTCAGGCGAGGGAATTTTGAGGTGCGGACAGCATTTATTAAAATTTCATCATTTAGGTTGTCTTGCTCAATCACAATTATTTTCTCGAGAACAGGTGACTCAAGAATAAGTCTAAGGCCATCTGTTGGCACATGAAAAGTCAATGCCAGAACTTCGCTTATGGGAGCACAGTTAATATTAATGGATTTTAAATGACTGAAACTTGGTTTTACGTCTCGTGGCACTGCATGAACTTTTGATGGATCATAGTCACTATAGGTGTTTAAGCCATCTAATGATAAAGTGTTTAATTCTGGACATAGATAGGCTATGACAATCAGATTTATATTAGCCACGAAACGAAGCTGGAGGTTACGCAGAGTCTCACCATGTTTGTGCAACAAAGGTACAATTTGGGTGCAAAAACTCACTTGGTTAGGCCCATTAAATTCTAATACAAGATCTATTACATTATTTAGAGTCAATAGAGGCAAAAGGCTGTCAGTTTTAATGTTACCAAGGTCGCGCAGGTGTACGTACTGAATATTTGGACACAAATTAATGGCTGGATTGATGAACTGAGCATTAGCAAAATGCCCCAAGTTTCCACTACCAAATTCATCACATTGTAAAAATCTTAACTTTAATGGCCCAAATTCAGGTACTATGCTGCCTATATCTACAGACACTTCTGCCATTTTCTCTCTACTCTTCTTTAAATTTGCCAATGCATACAACAAAGTGGAGTGAGTTATTTCTTGCAGATTTGGCAGATTTACTAAGGCACACTGAATTCCTTTGTCAGTAACGGCAGTCCCATAGAGATCCAACTTGATGATGGATTTCGAGATATGTGGCTTCTCAGTAGGAAGAATGTCGGAACTCATGATCCCGTGACAGAGGCTCGAGACGCCCATGTCTGTTACATCTGTATCCGAGAGATTCAAAACCCTGCCAAATAAAATTACATTATACTTTAAGAACTGTATAATGCATACTTATTATCATGCTGCGTTTTAAAAAACATTTTTGGCAGTAGGTGACACAAACATTTGAAATTTAAGCAAGCATCTACAAAAACATTCCAGAATATAAATTTTCTAGATATATCCAATGTTATGTTCAGAGTGTGTGTGTATAGCACACACACATACATAGAGGTATACATTACATAATCCAGTTTACTCATACTGTATATTGTGGCACATGTAGCCAATGCTCTCCTGGACTATAGGAACTGAAAAACCTTATCCACTTCCTTTTATGCTCACATTACAGTACCAAGAGTGTTCCTCGAGTACTGTACCTGTCATTTGAGAAAAGAGTTCATATTTGATGAAGTACTTAAATGACCAAGAGCTGGTGTTAAATTTGTTTACCTGACATGTTTGCAGTAGGCAGAAATAACACTGATGGTTTGATCTGTCACATTCGTCTGTGACAAGTCCACTGTCTGCAGGAGGCTTAGGGACTTGAACATCTCATTCAGAATTTTGCGTGGCAATGTTCTGCCCTTTAGTCCTATGTGGCGCAGTTTCTGGAGAGAAGTCGGTGAATGTTAATCCTTTTTATGTTGCAATGACTGTTTATCTACACTTCAGCATACTTAATGGTGTTATTGCCAGTGATTTAAAGACACCAGGAACAGTGATCCAAACATAGCTCTGAATATTTGTTTGGGAAAAAGAAAAAATCCAACAAGGATATTGGTGTTAAAGTTAGTAGGAATACATTATTAAAGACAAACTTGGAAGAATGTTAATCAGTAAAGAAGAAATTAGGATAGGTGAAAGGAGTAGTGTTGTATTTTGATGGGTTGAACTTATAAGTTATAAATGTGAACATGGCTTCTTTTCCTGGTGTGAGCACAAACTACCAGAATATGGTAATGAACGTATTTATGAAGTGATTTGCACATCTTGCAGAAGCTGAAATGTGATAAATGCAAGTTGTGATAAAGTACAGTATATGTAGAATTTATTAAATACAGCAGATGGAAATAGGATGGGTATTGAAAATGTGCCTGAAAAGATGGGAAAGTGGTACTGTGCCACTCAACTGAAAAGCTATTGAATAAAGCACGTATGAAGTCTATAGGGACATCAGTGTACTATGTATAGTGGGCAAAATGTATGGGAGAATAATGACTGCATGAGTATTATACAGAAAAAACTGAACTGAATCAGTGATGAATGTTGGTTCTGCAGTGGACGAGTATTGATCAGATATTTGCATCGAAACAGAGAAAAAGGCTGAATTTAGCCGAGATCCGGTGTGTCCATAGGATGGTATCACCTAGTCCCGCAGAACACCATTTTGGCACTGGTGTCACACGGAACATTTCAAATGGTCTTAAGTATGTACATACAAGTATGAACACCCACTTACTAATCACACACATATGCTCATACCCAGACTACATTTTGTAACCATCCAAAACTAATCATATACCCACTCAACCAACACACCTACTAATTATATATCTACTCAACCTACATCCACACTCCAGGCAGATAGACAAAATCAACCATATACCCACCCCATCAACTACAAAATATATGTCCACTGAAGAATGGAAAAAAATGTTGAAAACGTTGTTCTTGCTTGGGGGAAACACTCATGTTCAACTTGTATTTAAATAGAATTTAAGAGGACCCACCTTGCAGCGTACAGCACAGAGAGATATAATGTATCCAAACTCGGATGTGCAGCGTGTGAGAACCAGTCGCTCCAGGTGGTAAAGTAGCAACAAGTGCAAGTGATGTTTCCGTAACTTGCCAGATGTGTTCAATTCCTCAATTATAAGCTCAATGAGTGGACTAGCTGCAGGGACAAGATATAGATCAATATTAGCAGTCAAATATTATTTTCTTAATGCTAAAATGACTTTCCTCAACTAGCAAATCATATCTAGCAAGCCTCATCGTTTCCTGACAAAGGCAGGGGACAAGTTTATCAATTAGCTATGGATGGAATGACATGAAGATAAATGACAGAAAACAGTACAACTCGCATGGCCACAACAATCGAGCTGGTCTCAAAATATTAAGACGAACTTCTAAAATAGTCACTTAATGGGTTTTGTCGACATTATGACCCTCTTACCCATGTACTGTGGTGCACATTCAGTGATGACTTTGTTACTGTTGCTAATAAACTGTACAAAACTAAAGTACAGAGTCTTGGACTACATTGAATAAATATTTTTTAAATTCAATTGCTTTATGTATTTTTTTTTAAGTTATTCAATAATAAATATCCAATACAGAGTACGCCTTTAAATAATAATAATTTTCCTTCTGCAGTCTATAAAATATTTGGAGAGAAAACCTTTTCTGAAGGAGCAATTAAGACAGAAGACTTAACATTTATTTTGTTGTAAATCTTAAAATATTTATAAAATGTATGGTTATTCAAGGGAGAAGAGAGACTAAATTTTGAAGGCGTGTTAATTTGGGCAACCGGTTGCCAATCAGGATGTCCCACATACAGTACTTAAAATTGGTTTTATGTTGCTTGAATGAATGTTTTCTCGGTTTCAATGAAGATGTCACCATGAACAACTGCCACTACACAAGTATTAGCTCTACACAAGTTTTCTTCACTTCACCATTACAAAAATAAACCTTCACCCAAGTGTTGACTTTGTTACCATCATCAACACAAATAAAATGTTTGTCTCAGTTTTCAATATAAGCTAAAATGCCAAAAGTATACCATACTTTAATACTGATTGGGTAAAATATTGTTCAAGATTTGCAAATTCTGTATTGTATAAGGCAAAGATGTCAGTCCTTGGTCACCTAAACTAAATTTGTTTATACAGTAACTAGAATAACATACAAGCTTAACAGTTTATGGTCAAATATATGGCATGAACTGAAAGGAGAGGTTTACCTATAAAATGGCCTCCCAGTCAAGTCTGCAGACATTAACCAAAATATGTTAGTAGCTCAAAGATACTGCCCACAGTAGTCAGTAGTTGTTACCAGTAGTCAGCAAGGTAGTTACATCACTTTTGTTTTATTTTTATTAAGAAGTGTCACAAATGTAAACCTGTATATCATAGTTTTATTATATCCATTTTTCTTTGTAATATCCCATTTCCAACATTTTATCTGGCAAGATTTATGCATTCTTTACGTGATAAGATTTTCTTTTGCCAGGAATGGCTGATGAATGCTGATATCATCCTTGAGTACAGTATAATGATTATTTTAAATAAAAGCAACAAAGTAAAGGCATCAGTCTACTTAAAGCCTATTATATATTTCCTATTTTTAAAACAAATATCACAAATGCTTAAATGGCCATGATTCCATTAATTTTAAACATCAGAATATGACAACTAGCATACAGTACATTATCCTTACATGTAAATACTTACGCAAGTCTTCAAAAGGGCCCAGAACGAACAAGTAGCTTTTGCTTTGATCAAGCCAATTCTGCATATAATCCTGACACCAGTATTTGTCCATGTTATTCACAATACTTCGCACACATTGCACTTTTAAACACCCCGGAGGTTTGGGCCGAGGCATCTTGTGAACTGAAATTCAACAAAGGCTTATTGTACTTGCAGTGGGATACTTTCTATAAGGTTGTCTACAGAGGAAAACGATCTAACTTTGGACTGCATCTTCAGTTTCATACACCTATATATGAAATATATAGGAATTTTCTCAATCTTTCGTACATTACGCTGTATACTTTTTATTTCTACCATACACAAATACTTACCTCATGATATACTGTTTAATAAAATACATACAGTAATCCTAAATATTAAATTTTTAACTTTGTACTATAGAGTAAGGGAACTGTATTTTCTTCTGCACTGTATTACAAATTACATTCACAGACAAGGTACCTATTCGCCCTCACCACTACATATCAATTCCATCTTCACCATGTATACACTTGGGTTAAAAATAAGTGTGCGCATGTTTGAATTACCAAATTCTCTTAAAAGTCACATAATTAAATAATGCCTTTTATAATACTGTACTGTACACAAGACGTGTACCTCCTTAAAACAGAACCAATCCAAATTAATTAAAAGTTACACAAAATATTATACAACTAATGTATTATATTTCTGAAAAGTTGTATTATGTATGAGTAAATTGCTTATAAATAGTGTTTATGAACACAAATGAAGCAACGCTTTGCCTGCATTATTAATCTTTTTCCTGCAGGCCCTCTTTTTACCATTTGGTTCCAAAGTTTGTCAAAATGTTGCTAACATTTAGAAAACACTGTACTGTATCAAGCATTTAATTACAAATACTGAATTATTCAAACTAATGAAGGGAATTATCAGGAGGAAGCACAAAGCCTTTACGACTATATAGGAATGAAAATCCTGTACAGTACCCAATTTCTTAAAACATTTAAAGCACACACATGACAATCGACGTACTGAACACTTGCAAATCAACCAGTTCTGGATATTTTCCTCTTAAAATCCTCAAGAATAATGAGCAAATAAATCTGACATATAGGTAAAGGTGTGCTGTCTGCACCTTGTTGCCGCAGTAGTGGATTACTACTGAATTTCCCATTCATCAGTACACAGGACCAGAAGATATCACTTGCATATCATCACTTAATTATTTATTGTAATTTCAAAATAAAAAGATTGAGAAATTAAATGGAGAAGTAAACTAGAGAATAGTGATAGTACCAACTCCAAATTAATTTGCAGAGTACGGAACGAGATAAAGTTCAATTAATACAGAACCGTTGTGTGAATGACATTTCTAAAACAGTGCCAATATTTGAGAATGAATACAGACTTTAAACAGCTAATCTGCAATTATTACAGTATTTACAATAATTCGCAAAGCAAAATTTTACCCGTTTTTTTTTTTAGCTGCACATTTCAGTGAAGATTACATAGCATACTGTACTGCATTGGTTCTCAATATGAAGGGAATGAGAGCATTCACTACATAATGCTAAGATGTTATGCAAAATATGATTATTCTTGCTACCTGTATGGTAACAGGAAGTCAATTTTAAGCTACCTAAAATTTACACATTTTAAAAATTTAGAGCATATTACAAAAAAATAAATGTAATAAGACAAGTGATTAATTATTATGTATAGAAGCCACAACCTTCCTGTAGCTTTTATATAGAGTGAGTAAGTGAATGAAAACAAACAAACACAAAACACACAAAAACACACAAAAACACAGTATATATAAACTTTTGTCATAGGCAAGTAATTATCAAAAGGTGCCAACATAGGGAGACTATATAGCTAGTTTTGTAATGACTTTGACTCCTTGATCTTCCTTACTTGTATGAAACAAATTTCAAACTACTGTGCTGGATGGTAAGATAAAGTAATTATCAGGAGAGATACTGTGATGGAAGGCAACATTAAGTGACAAGCTGTATTCCATAATCACCTTACCTAATGTAACCATGTCTTTTTTTTCCCCCACAAACTATTAATTTTTACCAAACCTTACTAATTAATAAATAAGTAAGGTATAGTTTAAGTTTTTTTAAAAAGTAAGTTTTTACAGCAATTGTTCTTCCCAACATTAAATTCATGTTTGTCGGTGTTAACTTAATTTTAAGGCATTTTGATAAAGTACACAGCTTTCTTTAGTTTTTATTATTATGGTAAAGAAAAAGCTCATGTTTAACACCTGAATAACAACATGCCATCACTTTATATCTTTTCATTAGATTGCAATACATACCTCACCATTTGTGACATTTGAGGAAAAGGAAAACAGGTATCATATCTAACAGTAGTAAAGATTCATTATTGCTCATCTGGATCAAGTGCGAGTTTTTATATTTATCCCCTCAGTTGACACGATTAAATGGCATGGATTAAGGATGGTACTGTATCTCGGGTTGCATACATTTGGTGCAGGCGAATGCAGAACCTGTACATAACATAATGAGCAAAACAAAACACCGAATTTGACTTGAACATCACACACACACTTAATAGAATTCTACGATCAGGTGACAAAGATTAAGCAAGAAAGAGAAGGATGAGCAGACTGCATTTTTTGACTGTCGGAAAGCCTTTGACACAGTACCCCATAAAAGGCTGATGCATAAGCTGGAGAAACAGGCAGGAGTAACTGGTAGGGCGCTCCAGTGGATAAGGGAGTACCTAAGCAATAGGAAGCAGAGTTACAGTGAGGGGTGAGACCTCAGATTGGCGTGAAGTCACCAGTGGAGTCCCACAGGGCTCTGTACTCGGACCTATCCTGTTTCTGATACTGTATACGTAAATGATCTCCCAGAGGGTATAGACTCATTCCTCTCAATGTTTACTGACGATGCCAAAATTATGAGAAGATTAAGACAGAGGAGGACAGCTTGAGACTTCAAGAAGACCTGGACAAGCTGCAGGAATGGTCGAACAAATGGTTATTAGAGTTTAACCCAAGCAAATGTAATGTAATGAAGATAAGGGTAGGAAGCAGGAGACCAGATACAAGGTATTATTTGGGAGATGAAATACTTCAAGAGTCAGAGAGAGAGAAAGACCTGAGGGTTGATATCACGCCAGACCTGTCCCGTGAAGCTCATATCAAGAGGATAACATTAGCGGCATATGCCAGGTTGGCTAACATAAGAACGGCATTTAGAACTCGTGTAAGGAATCTTTCAGAACATTATATACCACATATGTCAGACCAATCCTGGAGTATGCGGCTCCAGCATGGAGTCCATATCTAGTCAAGCATAAGACTAAACTGGAAAAGGTTCAAAGGTTTGCCACCAGACTAGTACCCGAGCCGAGAGGCATGAGCTACGAGGAGAGACTACGGGAATTAAACCTCTCTTCGTTGGAAGACAGAAGAGTTAGGGGGGGGACATGATCACCACATTCGAGATTCTCAAGGGAATCGACAGGGTAGATAAAGACAGGTTATTTAACAGAAGGGGCACACGCACTAGGGAGGACAGGTAGAAACCGAGTGCCCAAATAAGCCACAGAGATATTAGAAAGAACTTTTTTAGTGTCAGAGTGGTTGATAAATGGAATGCATTAGGAAGTGATGTAGTGGAGGCCGACTCCATACACAGTTTCAAGTGTAGATATGATAAGAGCCCAGTAGGCTCAGGAACCTGTACACCTGTTGATTGACAGTTGAGAGGCGAGACCAAAGAGCCAGAGCTTAACCCCCGCAAGTACAATTAGGTGAGCACACACACACACACACACAAAAAAAAGACAGCTACTAAAACAGTGACAGCACTGATGACAGGCAGATTAAAGTTGGTTTGTTTAGAACCACATTATGTATGGTCCAGGATGATCCACTATGAGCCAAGTGTTAAACTCTGAGGAGTTTATCACATTCCTTTGTGCATTACTACCTAAAACTTAAGTAATAAAGAAGACGGTAGCAAGTCAAGAAGTCAAGCACCAGTAACCGTCGTCCCAGCCAAGCACCGTGTTGGGGGTCTCCGTAATACTGGGCACCTCAAGACACCTCGTGGCCTGCCAGTCCCAACCCCGAGCTTCGTGAAGTACCAGGTACTAGGACGCGCCAGGGAGCAACAGGCTGTGTAAAGCAACAATAACCTCTGACCTCTGAGAGAGGCGTCACACCTCCGGGGCCCAGCACTTTGTTTACCACTTGTGACGTCATACAAGCACACCTCTGGAGGTAAACTTCTCTCCTTCTCCTCCCACGCCTTCAGAGGTGTGAAAAAAAACAATTATTTAAATTTTAATAGTTTTTTTAAGTATTCTATAATTACTGTGTAGAACTTGTTGTACAGTCTTACGTAAAGGCGAGGCTAAAGTATTAAGAGTTCTCAGAACTACTAGCAAACTTTAGCCGCTTTAATATTATTTATTATTCCGCAAAATACTGCCGCAATTCTTAAAAGCGTCAATAATGTACACTGTCAATAATTTGGTTAGTTTTAATATGTCGAATATTTTTATAAGTTCTTAGAACTGTGTGTGTGCTATACAGTGTAGCTCACCTCCCCAGGTACACCACTAACCTCTGTGCCAATAACATAATGCCACAAAAACTAACAATAACATCTCCCCGTACTAACAAAACCTTAACAAATTGCATTAGGAAGTTTTCGTTTTAAGTTTGTTTAGTTGAAACAGTACAAAGTATAACTAGCATGAGTTTGAACCTAACAGTGAAAGGATCTAACTAGCTAGATTGTTATGGACCATCATAACCCAGCCACTCAGGGTGAAGGTTAGATCATAACCCAGCCACTCAGGGTGAAGGTTAGATCATAACCCAGACACTCAGGGTGAAGGTTAGAACATAACCCAGCCACTCAGGGTGAAGGTTAGATCATAACCCAGCCACTCAGGGTGAAGGTTAGATCATAACCCAGCCACTCAGGGTGAAGGTTAGATCATTACCCAGCCACTCAGAGTGAAGGTTAGATCATAACCCAGCCACTCAGGATGAAGGTTAGATCATAACCCAGCCACTCAGTGTGAAGGTTAGATCATAACCCAGCCACTCAGGGTGAAGGTTAGATCATAACCCAGCCACTCAGGGTGAAGGTTAGATCATAACCCAGCCACTCAGGGTGAAGGTTAGATCATAACCCAGCCACTCAGGGTGAAGGTTAGATCATAACCCAGCCACTCAGGGTGAAGGTTAGATCATAACCCAGCCACTCAGGGTGAAGGTTAGATCATAACCCAGCCACTCAGGGTGAAGGTTAGATCATAACCCAGCCACTCAGGGTGAAGGTTAGATCATAACCCAGCCACTCAGGGTGAAGATGCACACAAATAGATAAGGAAGAGAAATAACGTTTATGTGCATGATAATGATCGTCCTTCAAATATGAATCAAGTTGTCATCTTCATTCAGTATCCAGTGGAAACACTATATGTACTGATAAGATAGGGCGCCGGTCGTTTAGCCATATATTCATTCGTACCCCAGACCAATCCACCCCCTTCCCTGCCAAGTTTGGTGAGACTAGCTCTAACCTTCTGGCCTCCAACTGTGGACATGTAGTCAGACATTCTCTCTTATAGATAAACAAACTGATAAACTGAGGAATCGGCAGCTTAGCCAGTTGTGCCCGCGTGTGGAGGCTGCGGGCTGCTTCACTCATGTAGTTAGGACAATCAAGATAACCCACTGTATAGATAATATCGAGGTCATCACCTATAATATATGCATATACTTGAAACTTCCCTTCTAAATTGCCTATAAAGCTGTGGAAAATTCGCAGCGCCAACACAATTTACCAGCTCATATTTTTACTAATAATAATTCATTGTATCAGGGGACAGGAAGCCAGGATGTATTCATATGTTAGGCTTTTATCAAGGTCACCCCCCCCCCCTTCCCAAAGCCGAATTACTGACCCCGCCCAGGATACAACCCCATAACAAGCTAACGCCTGAGTACCTACTTACTGCTTGAGGTTATCTTGAGATGATAAGGTGAACATGGATGAATGAATGAACTGCTAGGTGAACAGAGTGAAAGGAAATGTACCCAACCATTTCTGTCCCCAACCCGTCCTCAAAACAAAGACCCAAAAGTGATAACATTCACCCGCCAAACCCCCAGGTGTTTATGAATGAAAAATGGTTTACACGCGACTCACAACTGATGACGTTCGAACACTTCCGGAACAAGTGCTTCACTGACGAATTTTGTTCGAACCACAACGCTGTAAATGCTTCACCCACGTCAGCCCGTCCTCCAAACAAAGATCCAAAAGTGATTCCATGCACCCGCCAAACCCCCTGTTTATGAATGAAAAGCGGTTTACACACGACTCACAACTGCTGACGTTCGAACATATCCGGAACAAGTGTTTCACTGACGACTTTTGTTCGAATCACAACGCTATAAATGCTTCACCCACGTACTACAAATACAAATAATCGCCAACAGAACCTAAACACCTAACCTAACCTAACCTATGCCTATATATGCACAATATGCTAATATATTATAATATTAATTTATACTTGAGAAAATTCCCGTTTTGAATGAAGAGCATATTAAAATTTATGAATGCGTCTGTGGGGTCGACCGCTGGATGTAACGGACTTGAGTCAAGGACGGATTGCCCACGTACTACAAATCGCCAACAGAACCTAAACACCTAACCTAACCTATGCCTATATATATGCACAATATGATAAAATATTATAATATTAATTTATATTTGAGAAAATTTCATTTTTGAATGAACAACATGTAAAAATTTCTAAATGCATTTGTGGGGTCGACCGCTGGATGTAATGGACTTTTGTCGAGGACGGGTTGCTGTCCCGCCCGGGATTCGAACCCAGAATTCTCGATTGTGCGTCGAGAACGAACCCGACTGTACTCCGGAACCATAAATAAATAAATAGGGTATATAAATTATTATTATATTGTTTTGTATAGCCTGTCTGTGTGTTCTAGTATGCTTATCGCGTAGAAAAGATGGTATATATTTAATCTATTGAGCAAGACTTATACCTTATGTTATCCTGATGTTCCCCATAGCAGATATTGTTTGTCTCATTCATTATTATACACTGCAGTGATAGTGACTGCACAAACGTATTTTGCATACAATACAGTTTTCTGTAAAAAAAACTTAAATAGGTGAAAATTCGCTTAAACAAATAGTGTTGAGAGCTTGTGTACCCTATATGTTAAGCCCTTGGTGTCCTGGTGGACGGGGCCACCACCTCCGTCACCGTGGTGGACGGGGCCACCGTCTCCGTCACCGTGGTGGACGGGGCCACCGCCTCCGTCACCGTGGTGGACGGGGCCACCGCCTCCGTCACCGTGGTGGACGGGGCCTCCGTCACCGTGGTGGACGGGGCCACCGTCTCCGTCACCGTGGTGGACGGGGCCACCGCCTCCGTCACCGTGGTGGACGGGGCCACCGCCTCCGTCACCGTGGTGGACGGGGCCTCCGTCACCGTGGTGGACGGGGCCTCCGTCACCGTGGTGGACGGGGCCTCCGTCACCGTGGTGGACGGGGCCTCCGTCACCGTGGTGGACGGGGCCTCCGTCACCGTGGTGGACGGGGTGGTGGACCTCCGTCACCGTGGTGGACGGGGCCTCCGTCACCGTGGTGGACGGGGCCTCCGTCACCGTGGTGGACGGGGCCTCCGTCACCGTGGTGGACGGGGCCTCCGTCACCGTGGTGGACGGGGCCTCCGTCACCGTGGTGGACGGGGCCTCCGTCACCGTGGTGGACGGGGCCTCCGTCACCGTGGTGGACGGGGCCACCGCCTCCGTCACCGTGTTGACGGAGGTGGTGGTGGTGGTGAAGGCCACGACGGCGGGGGCTGATCAGTGCTCCTCTGGCAGGCGGCCTCTCACTACCACCTACTTCATCTCCTTCCACTTCCTATACTTCCTCGTCTAAGTTGGCGTATCTACAAGGTTAGTTGTTCGTGCATTGTCAGAGACACGGAGTTAGTGCTATATAGCTTTTCTCTGCACTTGATGTTTGAATGAGACAGGCACATAGGCATCACCATGACTGAAGGATAATAATTATAATATTTCATTGTGTCGGGTGACAGGGAGCTAACAAAAGATACTTAGAATTATTAGCGAGGTCGACAAGGATATTATGTTTGGAAAGGGTGGGACCAGGACGGAAAGTTTTAAACTAGAGGCAACAATAACAATAAATTTGTGGAATCAAACCTCATGTGTGAATTCACATGTAAACACACCCAAATTCCATCATATCAAGGTTAATGGCTGTGTATTATTATTAGTAAAGATAATATTTCCAACAAAAAACACGCCACCGTCAGCTTGCAACATTCCGTTGTTGCTATGTGCATCTCTTGTCCCTCCCACCTTCAGTTAAGGCGGTGGTTAGGGCATCAGCCTCGCCTTATACAGTATAATGATTGTAAGTACACGCTTGTCCATGCCCTGGTGGAACCTGGCCATGGCCTGGTGGAACCTGGCTATGGCCTGGTGGAACCTGGCCATGCCCTGGTGGTACCTGGCCATGCCCTGGTGGTACCTGGCTATGGCCTGGTGGAACCTGGCCATGCCCTGGTGGTACCTGGCCATGCCCTGGTGGTACCTGGCCATGCCCTGGTGGTACCTGGCCATGCCCTGGTGGTACCTGGCCATGCCCTGGTGGTACCTGGCCATGCCCTGGTGGTACCTGGCCATGCCCTGGTGGTACCTGGCCATGCCCTGGTGGTACCTGGCCATGCCCTGGTGGTACCTGGCCATGCCCTGGTGGTACCTGGCCATGCCCTGGTGGAACCTGGCCATGCCCTGGTGGAACCTGGCCATGCCCTGGTGGAACCTGGCCATGCCCTGGTGGAACCTGGCCATGCCCTGGTGGAACCTGGCCATGTCCTGGTGGAACCTGGCCATGGCCTGGTGGAACCTGGCTATGGCCTGGTGGAACCTGACCATGGCCTAGTGGAACCTGGTTATGCCCTGGTGGAACCTGGCCATGCCCTGGTGGTACCTGGCCATGCCCTGGTAGAACCTGGTCATGCCCTGGTAGAACCTGGCCATGCCCTGGTGGAACCTGGCCATGCCCTGGTAGAACTTGGCCATGCCCTGGTGGAACCTGGCCATGGCCTGGTGGAACCTGGCCATGGCCTGGTGGAATCTGGCCATACCCTGGTGGAATCTGGCCATGCCCTGGTGGTACCTGATGCCCTGGTGGTACCTGGCCATGCCCTGGTGGTACCTGGCCATGCCCTGGTGGTACCTGGCCATGCCCTGGTGGTACCTGGCCATGCCCTGGTGGAACCTGGCCATGCCCTGGTGGAATCTGGCCATGCCCTGGTGGAATCTGGCCATGCCCTGGTGGAATCTGGCCATGCCCTGGTGGAACCTGACCAGCTATATATAGACACCAATGGCCGCTGTACAAGCCTGCTGATCTTTCACATCATCAACGATGTAATATTCTCCTATTTGTTCACGTAAATATACATTTTGTTTAATGCTTACATCTGGTATGTGCCCAGGAGGTGGAGGTGTGATGGCGTGCGTGTGTGTGGTGGGGGCGGGAGTGGTGGGGCTCACCACAGCTACACTGCTACAGGAGGCCTTGCCGCCAGGCTCCTCCGTCACCGTCATTGCTGATAAGTTCCTCAGGGAGACCACTAGCGACGGCGCGGCGGGAATCTTCAGGCCAGGACTCCAGTTCCAGGGTCACACCCCGGAGGTTACCAGGTGGGTGGTGTGGCTGGTGACCATGGAGTCTTTGGTGGTGTGGCTGGGGACCATGGTGTCTTTGGTAATGAGGAAGAAGTCTTTCATAAGCATGTTTGTTCTCATATTCAACCAATCATAAATAAATAAGATTACATCCAGTTACACAAGGTTAAATATAAAAAGTAATATATCTAATCTTTTATTGCTGGACGTAGCCTCCTTATCTGTTTTGGACGTAGCCTCCTTATCTGTTTATAACTGGTTGAATATGAAAACCGACTGATCTGTTCGAGGTTGTAGGTCAGAGGCTTGGACTAGCCTTACCCAACTTTACAGGGTGACTGATAAATAGCTCTGGTAACAGGCGGGTCGGGGATATAGACCCCAATTACCCGCCTCTTTTCTTCTTTATCGTTAAAACCTTCGTTAATTCTCCACTGAGACAAGTATTTTAATGTCTTTCCTCCTCCTCCCACTAGACAGTGGCTCACAGACTCCTACAACTTCTACAAGAATATCCTCAACTCAAAGGATGCTGCGAGTGCTGGCGTCAAACTCATCTCTGGCTTCCACTTCTCCTCCAAGCATCCCAAGATCATCTGGGTAAGTGGTAGAGTTGATGTAAGTGTTTAGGCACCTGTGGGGTCGCAAGGGAGGGCAAGAGCGACTGTGGGGTCGCAGGGACAGCCAGGAGCACCTGTGGGGTCGCAGGGGTAGGGGGGGGGGCAAGAGCGAATGTAGGGATCGTGGGTGGCGGGCAACACCCGAGTCACTATTAAACACCTAAAATACATTATAAAAATCCAAGTTCATGATAGAAATATTCGCAGGAAGCCATACTAAATGTTCAGTGCTAAACAGAACGCGTTCCTGCGCCCCCTGCTGGAGGAGTACCGCCTGTGTACCGAGGAAGAACTCCGCCTTCACCACCACAAGTACGGCACCTTCATGACCACCATCCTTACAGAGTGCCGACGGTACCTGCCCTATCTCACTAACAAGTAAGCCTTTAAACCATATCCTTGAATTATAAATATACTTACTCCGAATGTGTGTGTGTGTGTTTATTATAGGGTATTTTGAACTAATGTATAGGCTTGATGTTTTAGACTTGTGATTGGCTGCACTTCAGATGTATGTGTTGAGTGATAGAGTTGGCACCGAGGGATTGTAATGGATGTACTCAAGAAATTCCAGTAATTGTGTTGTTTCCAGTATTGAATTTAGATTTTAACATGAAAGTTATTGGTGAGTGACCGAAATATATCTGAAGACTATTTGTAGCAATGATTTCAAACGTGCTTGCACAAAGTACAGATTGGTAGTAATAAATTACAATATGATGTTAATTAGTCATGGGTTTCCACCTAATTGTATTTTTATTGTATTGCATAATTATTGTTTTTTAATTTTCTTGCATTTTATGTCACTATGAAACATTAAAACCCTCATTAAATCTACTCTAATGCTTGGTCCACATAAAGCTTTAAGAGTTTCTGTAATCCAGTTTACAAGAACAACTTTCTGCTTACAGAAATGAAATATATGCATATTATCCTCAATTTCAGTGCATTGGTCACACCTATTGTTGTCATTAATGCCCAACATCAACAACCTATCATTAGTAGGGAGGATCTCATGAATATATTCATAACATGACCCGACAGGTTCACGGGCCGGGGAGGCATCATTGAGACCCGACACCTGGAGAGCCTGGAGGAGCTTGTGGGTCAGTATGACGTTGTGTGTAACTGTTCGGGCATTGGGGCCAAGGACCTGGTGAACGACCTCACTGTCACTCCCATACGAGGTCAGGTCTACAAGGTCAGTCTTAGCCATGGACTACTTTATTGGAAACTAGATTAATCATTACAGCCTTGTTGATATTTCCAATGAACTTTTGCTGGATATCTCTCTCTCTCTCTCTCTCTCTCTCTCTCTCTCTCTCTCTCTCTCTCTCTCTCTCTCTCTCTCTCTCTCTCTCTCTCTCTCTCTCTCTCTCTCTCTCTCTCTCTCTCTCTCTCTCTCTCTCTCTCTCTCTCTCTCTCTCTCTCTCTCTCTCTCTCTCTCTCTCTCTCTCTCTCTCTCTCTCTCTCTCTCTCTCTCTCTCTCTCTCTCTCTCTCTCTCTCTCTCTCTCTCTCTCTCTCTCTCTTTCTTATTTAACAAAAAATTATGTTCAAGGTGCGCGCGCCGTGGGTTAAAAACTTCTACTTCGTGGACTACGACACCTACATCTTGCCTGGGTTTGACCACATCACGCTGGGTGGAACGAGGCAGTTTGACTCGTACAAGGAAGATGTGGACAAGTACGACTCCATGGCCATCTGGGAGCGATGCTTGGCACTGGTTCCAAGCCTGAAGGCTGCAGAGGTGGGTACTACTGGAGTTTGGTAAGTGAGTTTCGGCACTGTAAACTGCGCACTTGGTTAAAGTCACACTCTACCTAGCGGTTTACCTTCACGTGTTCTTTAATAACTAAAAGAGCACAAAAGGTACGGTAAGTAATTATCAGGAGAAATTAGTTTTATGTATATCTCGTTTTGTAAGGCCTCAATCCCATTTTCGCTTTCCCCCTTTACCCTAAATCTTGGTGCTGAATTTTAAAATCCAGCTTGAAAAAAAATCAGGACAAATTGGAGGACCTTTGACAAACCGCCGGCTTCTTGTCCTCGTTGAGGCTAGTGGCTTTCAGGTAAATTAGGCCTAGTATGCTATTTAGGGCCAGGTTAGGTTTATGGTTACTCTGTTCCATTGTATTTCAGAAGTACCAAACAAACTTTTTGGTTTAAAACAGTTCATATATTGCACCTTCCTTCCACAATAGAGTAAATAATTAAATAAAAATAGAATAAAATAAATAATAAATAAAGAAAATAAATAATAAATAAAGAAAATAAATAATAAATAAAGAAAATAAATAATAAATGAAGAAAATAAAGAATAAAATAAAGAAAGAAAACAAATAATAAATAATAGAATAAATAAATAAAAAGCTCTAGGTTCTATCCTTTTGGAGGGAGTGTTGTTGGGGGGGGGGGGGGGGGACTGGGAATTGGTCGGGGCCACATGTACAAAACTGAATTTACACTATTAATAGGGTTTTTAACACTAATATGGTGATAACAACTACCACTACCACCACCATCTCTACGACAGCTATCCCACAACTCCCTTCTTTTGATAATTACTTACCACAACTTCCACCAGCATCACCATAATTAACACCATCACCACAACCACCGCCACTACAAGCCCTACCATAATAATGACGAGTCCTCCCACAGGTCCTGCAGGAGTGGGTAGGCTTGCGACCCTACCGACCTATTGTGAGGGTCGAGAACGAAGTCATGACTTTCGACAGCGGCACAAGCCTGAAGGTGAGGCTATTCCATTTCCAGACTCATTACCTCTAAACTTGTTCCTCATCTTGCATATGCTCGATTTGGACATTTATTTTGTCGTTTATTATTGGTATTTCATTCTTTTATTAACGTTTCTCGAAGTTATTCTAACTACCATCTTCCCCGCCTCCTGCAGGTAGTCCATAACTACGGCCATGGAGGCTATGGGGTGATGTCGGCTCCTGGCACTTCCATGGATGCTGTCAGGTTAGTGATGAAGATGCTTCCCTCCACCTGGGCCAAACTTTGAAGGGGCCCATACGTCACCTTTTTGGGTCTGTTTGTCAACACTACAAGAACCGCACATCAGCCTCTGGAAGCTTTACATCAGCGTCTGAGGCCTGTCAGACCTCAGACCAATAAATCAACTCTTATGCCTTGTAATACCTTTGAAGGCCCAAAACTCCCGTCCTTTACTCTTAGTTAAAAGAGTTTATGAATGTAGCTCATTAATGTAGTAACACTAGTAAATGATGTCTCCCGAGAGGCATCATGTAAGAATGAATAAATTATGAAAGAAAACGCCAATCCTGAATGGCTATATGAATGGACAACCATGAATGTGTGAAGTTGACCGGACCACACACTAGAAAGTAAAGGGACGACGATTTTTCGGTCCGTCCTGAACCATTCTCAAGCTGACTTGAGAATGGTCCAGGACGGACCGAAATGTCGTCGTCCCTTCACTTTCTAGTGTGTGGTCTGGTCAACATACTTCAGCCACGTTATTGTGACTCATCGCCTACACATGAATGTGAGAAAATTTAGCTAAATTAGGAATAATAATGCGAACAAGCCTGAATGGTCCCCAGGACAATATGCAACTGAAAACTCACACCCCAGAAGTGACTCGAACCCATACTCCCAGGAGCAACGCAACTGGTATGTACAAGACGCCTTAATCCACTTGACCATCACGACCGGACAAAATGAGGTGATATTTGTGTTCCTCACGTGTGCCCCAAAGAATGAGGTGATTTGGTAAAATGCTATGCCCAAGATTACCATCCGAGTGCCGGCGGTGGGGTGGTTCAAATAGCTTCGGCTATCACCTCATTTTGTCCGGTCGTGATGGTCAAGTGGATTAAGGCGTCTTGTACATACCAGTTGCGTTGCTCCTGGGAGTATGGGTTCGAGTCACTTCTGGGGTGTGAGTTTTCAATAATAAACAAATTCAACTCTTATAAACTAGTGCACCCTTTGATGAAGCAGTCTTTGCCAGATTGTCTGGGACCAAGATTGATGACGGATGAAAATTAAGTCACCCAAGAGGTGGCACGGGCATGAATAGCCCGTAATGGGACTAAGGATAGTGTAGCAATCATAATGGCCGTTGATGTGTCACCAGGTGACGTGATTTAGAGATGACAACCCCCCCTCCCCCCCCGACGAAGACTGTTGACATGTTTTAAGACGACGCGAATTGGGTTGACATGCGTCAAATACAACACAGATTAGGCTGACATGCGTCAAGTACGACACAGATTAGGCTGACATGCGTCAAGTACGACACAGATATGCCCCAAGACGCCGCCAGGGATGAAATCGGTGTTGCCGGATCTCAGCAATAACCGGGAAGGAAAGTCACAGTACCGTACAGTACTGTGACTTATAGTACCGTCACCCGTGTGTCTCCCTCACACACTTATACCTGAATTACCTGAATTGTACAGCAGATCCCGGCTAATAGGAGCCAGCACTGGATGTTCAGGGTATAATGTCGTGTCTTCCCAGTGAGAATCGTAGAGGTCGAGGATTGTGAGTATAATAACTTAGCTGAGGTCCAGCTTGGTGCCTTTTTCTGATAATTACTTACTTAGCTGTGGTCAAAAGCCATATATTAATATTCTCCCAAAATGTGGGTAATGAATATCCTGTGTGTAGATGTATTAATGGTTTAGCATGTATTAAATAACAGAATACCATCCATTCTATCATTATCCTCATTATAATGCACGTATTAAGGATAATACGTATACTATTCTATATTGTCTCAACGTTATGCAAAATGCATTATTAAATTATATCCAATTACTATGGTTTGCCTCTCTTTACACTGCAAGAATTACGTAGTAAGAGTGGATGTCCTTGCTAAATTTGTATCAAATAAAGTGATGAATTGTATTGACATTCAAGATTAGATGTAAACACACCTGTATTTGACAGAAAACAGATGTGGGTTCCCAGAGTCAGAAACAGGAAGCCTGATATAGGCTTCTTGGCATCCAATGACCTCCAGGATACAACACACACCAACAGTTGCCTAACCCGGACCGGGTATCTATTACTACTAGGTAAACAGAGCCTTCAGGTGCAGGGGAAACATTGCCCAAACGTCTATCCTGCCCGGGGATCGAACCCGGGACCATTCTGGTGTGCATCGACCGTGCTGCTGCAAGAAATGGCACTTCACTATAACTAACGATAAATGACATGAAGTCTAAGTGACGTTTTATCCATTTCTCCCAAAAACATTCAAAGCTCTTCATATATATGACAAAAGCGTAATATTAATATGCGAATTTGTAAATCTAATATAAATTACAGTATAAGTAACTATAAATGACAGTATAAGTAACTATAAATGACAGTATAAGTAACTAATATAAAGTTACTTATTATTACAGATAATATAAGTAACTGTAATAATAAGTTAATATTATTACGTGAATTAATAACTATCATCTACATGAAGGCTACATGATCATCAGAGCAAATGGGGGGTGGACCTTTGACAAGCCGCCGGCTTCCTGTTCGCATTGAGGCCACTAATACTAGAGGCCCTCAGGTAAATTTAGGTAAACTCATTATCCTTGGACGTTAGACCTCACGCAACTCCCCAGCTTGGGTCAGATTAATCCATGTATGACTTTTTTGTAACTATTTTCCGCTGTTAATGCACACGAATTGTATATTAAAATTTCCGCCGTTGGTGGCAACAAACAAGCAGTCCAGTAGACATGTTGCAGTGTTTGTTGTGTTTGTTGAGTGAGCAGACATAGTATAACCCAGCAGCCTCCCGTACACTAAGTCGAATTTCTGTTAACGCAAACATTAAAATATTAATACAAGAAACAACAGATATTCAAAATTATATAAATTTACCTCAAATATTTTTTGTGTTATTGGAGTAAAGAGTGAATATATATACTTGAGTGAATGTATACTTGAGTTTGAAGAATGTTTACAGTGATGAAAGTCGAGGGTGTGTAGCGATAGGTGACGGCCGCCATCAAGCTCCAGCACTGCTGTGTGTGTGACCTGCAATAATGGACAAGCTGGAGCAGGACCCCATGCTGCAGGATGACGACGTGAGTAGAGTGTGTGGCAGGGAGGACCTAGACTGGTGGCGCTCTGCGCTGGACCAGGGCCTGACCTGTCTGCGTCAGCAGGGCTCTCACTGTGGACCTTGTCGAAGCTGAACACTCTCCATACATAGACTTACGGGTTTAATGCTTTCTTTTGGGTAATTACTTTGGATAATTAACCCTCACATGACCTATGGAGTGTGGTTGCGGACCCCCGGGGGGTGGGGGCAGCACTAGGTCTATCTGGATCCCACAGTAGTAGGGTCTCGTAGCACAGTTGGCCTCGTCCTCGGCACAATTGAGGAGTCCCGGGTTCAATTGGCAGGTGGGAGAGAAATCTTTAGGAGCGTTTCCTTCACCTAATACCTCTGTTCACCTAGCAGCAAACAGGTACCCAGGAGTTGGCAACTGTTGTGGAGTTGCTTCCTAGGGAGGGTTTAAGCACAGTTAAAAGCTTGAACTATACCCCAGAACACAGTCTCATTAGATATAGATAAAAATACAATTCACAGCTTTGTATCATCCTTTGCAGACTATACAAAAATCAGCATTAAAATTACTTCTATAGAAGATGCTGAAAAACTGCAAGCTGATATCAGTTGTCTTCAATTGCACAATGGAAAATAACACGTATATAAGTGATACATAGTAGATACTTAGGTATGGTAAAAATTAAAAACTTAAAATACAAGGTATAAGACTTAATCAGGTCTCATAGAAGGTAAAGGATCTGGGAATAATGATATCAGATGATCTAATGTTTAGTTAGCATAACAAAGGAGATATAGCATCAGATAGGAAAATTATAGAATGGATTATGAGAACCTTCAGATGTAGGGATTCCATCACAATGCTCATATTATACAAGTCACTTATACTGTTGAATACCTTGATTTCCGCTCTATACTTACTTCTCCTTTCTGAGCAGGAGAGATTTCTGAAATGGAGGGAATACAGAGAAAATATACAGCATGCATAGGCACAACAAAGCACCTAAATTATTGGGATTGTCTTGAAGCTCTCAAACTGTTATCTCCAGAAAGGGAAAGAGAGAATTGTCACATAATATACGGTAACAGAAATACTGGAAGGTCAAGTCTCAAATTTTCTCAGTATATAACAACATACTGCAGTGAATGACATGGTATGAAATTCAGAATCGAGCCAGTGAAGAGTAGAGGTGCCATAGGTACAATCAGAGGTCCACAGCTATTTTAACATCATTCCAGCAAACAGTGCCTCAAGCGAGCACTGGGTGATGACTGGGCCGTGGGGGACACTAAGCCCCGAAACCATCTCAAGGTAAGGTAAGGTAGCATAGCTCCATTCTGAGCATCAGCCTGTTAAGCCAAGTTATCACATCACACTTGTCCCTAGGCTGGGTTTAAGGACTAGAAAAACTTCCAGAACCACCTCCAGGTATACTCCAGATACAGTAGTAGTTCAAACATGATACAACCTTGATACAAACCAAAAGTATATATATTCTCCAACAAAAGAAGTTATTAATTATATATTATACAGGGTAAAGTAGCACAAATTATCCAAGAAGCCGTGATATTTTCTGGGTGAATCCCCATAGTTGAATCCCCATACTGCTCATAATCTGAGACTTGCCTCATTGTTTTCAAGTTTATATTTCAAGTTTTAGTGATGATATTTCAGTGGAGATATTTAAAGGTTTAGTGATGCAAGAAACATCAAAATAATACCTGTACTTGAAATTGGGGGTTTCAGATAAACTCCAATAAATGTAAAATAATAATACATTATTTAATACACACATCAATCCAGTTGCCAGACATGGGGTTGCATTTTATATTTGTGTTACTTGCTTGCCTTTCTAGTTTATTACCAGAACCATAACACTGTACTGTATTATATTTGTTTATTTACAAATTATATTTTTTACTTTGGAATAAATAGCACAGTCTTGCAAATCTGCTTTGTAGATTTTGTACGTGTTTTGTATTTTGGTACTGTAATACAATACAATCCAATAAATTGCATAGAATTACAATACTTTGTTGTTTAACAAAAACAACAAAGTATTGTAAACAAAAAACAAAACAAAACAAAATAAAAAAACAGCCCAAATAATGTATAATATTAGTGATTGCAACAAATGCATAACTAATATATTTTAATTTCAGCCTGCAATGCGTGAAGTGGGAGCAATGTCTTCAGATGACATAATTTCTAGGACACGCCTTTTGGAAAATGAGATTCGTATCATGCGTCTGGAACAAACAAGAATCACACACGAGATCCAGAACCAGCGAGACAAAATCAGAGAGAACTCTGAGAAGATCAAAGTCAACAAGACATTGCCATACCTGGTATCTAATGTCATAGAGGTCAGTAGAATGGTTTCTCTGCTATATACTTGTCCACACCAGAATTAGTTGCATTCTGTTCCTAAACTGGTTATGCCAGTTTTTTTTTTTAATTTTGTTGTCTGTACACAGTTAATATTGGTACTATAATTTTGTGATAACTTTACCCCCATATACATATATATATCCAAAACAACCAAAGTGTTATAAAAAGTAAGTTCATTCATTGTGATCACCTGTACATTTTTGGATGGATGGGGGGTATAGGTCAAGGAAAAGGTATTGATACCCCCTAAGAATATTGCACTTCATTCTCTCACCCCTTTCCACTCATTCTACATCTCATATTCCCTCATAATTTTATATTATGTCTATCTCACACCCAAATTGCTTTAAAAAATAAAAATTACAGTCCTTGTACTCTTAAGCACACTGTCTCTCTCTCTGTGGCCAAGAATCACTTCCATATGTCAAGGCTGGAGGTATCATACTGTCTGTCTTTACTCCCATAGAATATTTATTCCTTTAATTACATTATACACCTCTCCTGCTCTTCTCCCACTCCTGCCCCCCCCCTCTTATTTTGCCTTCTATATTCCCATATTTTATCAAACTACCCTAAAGTATTAAAAACATATTAGCTCTTCCAGTATCTCTTCCACATGTTTATCCACTTCTAGTCACTTGTCTTGCCACTCAATAAGTATCTACAAAATCCCTGACATACTGTTCACTTCAAACACCATGGCAACTGGAAATATTAGACAGCTGCCACATTTATGTTTTATTGCTAATAGCAATATTTTGTAAATTGTAGGAGCAATATATAGAACAAATTAAAATCATGTGTAATTCACAGAGAAATTTCCTCAGATTTTGGATGTTGATCCCAATGAGTATGGTGAGGAGGACGGTGCTAATGTGGACTTGGATTCTCAGCGCAAAGGCAAATGTGCTGTTATTAAGACCTCCACGCGCCAAACATATTTCCTTCCTGTTATTGGTCTTGTAGATGCTGAAACACTGAAGCCTGGAGACTTGGTAGGTGTGAACAAAGATTCTTATCTCATCCTTGAAACTTTGCCTGCTGAGTATGATTCTCGGGTTAAGGCCATGGAAGTGGATGAGCGTCCAACTGAACAGTACAGCGACATTGGTGGACTGGATAAACAAATTCAAGAGCTAATTGAAGCTGTTGTCCTACCTGTCACCCATAAGGAACGCTTTGAAAATCTAGGTAATAAATACAGTACAGTCTTCCATCACCATCATGCATGTTCATGTACAGTAGACAATTCATATACCGTATAGTTTGAATGTGATCTGTGTAGTTTTGGTATACGAACACTGCCATTTCACATGGTTGGCCTCTACACCTAAATTTGGACAAACCCTTTATGTATGACGTGTTTCTCTTCATTTTCAATACTCTTTAGCCAATATACTCCACTAAACATTTCATAAAAGCTCCAACTCTTGTTAAATTTTCTAGTGTTTGAAAAAATTATATAGTGATTAAAAAATGTGGATGATTGTAAACCTAAGTGTATTATTATGCATTTGATACTTCCTGATATAAGGCTGTTGTATAAAATGGAGAGACTGGCTAGCATATCTGGATAAGGGATACTTGACAGTAAATAGTGGTGCAGATGTATATTAAGAAGGGTCCCTCTAGGTATGATCCTGTTCCTAATCTGTTTGAATGGCCTACCAGAGCAAATGTGTTCATATATGGTATATCAATGCTTGTAGATAGTGCAAAACTGATGATAGGGGAAACTGAGGACTGTAGTGTTGTGGATAATGCTTGCATCTGTTCACCTTGAAAATTATAACACCACCACCACACCAAAAACTATCATTGCACCACTGAACACCATAACCTCTTCCCTCCCACCTTACAGTAGTCTGTATTCATTACACCAGCTTAAATTCACAATGCTTACTGCATTTATCATATTCCCTGTATTCATTATATTTCCTTTATCATCATAATCCATTTATTCATATTGCCTTTATTAATTATACTGTATTTCTTAGTCTCGTCATATCACCCTATAATCATTTCACCTCTTGCATTCCTTACATAATTGTGTTTTAAATAACATTGTCTCTTAATACACATAGAGTGAATTTTAAAATGATTGAAAACTAATTAATTGTCTTGTGTGGTACTGTGCAGGTATCCAACCTCCTAAAGGAGTTCTGCTGTATGGACCTCCCGGTACTGGAAAAACTCTTCTGGCACGAGCGTGTGCAGCACAGACCAAGTCTACTTTCCTAAAGTTGGCTGGACCTCAATTAGTTCAGATGTTTATTGGTGATGGTGCAAAGTTGGTCCGCGATGCCTTTGCTCTCGCTAAGGAAAAGGCTCCAGCAATTATCTTCATTGACGAACTTGATGCAATTGGTGAGACTATACTTTTAGTATTAGGCCAGAAGTTTTAGTTTTGATGGTTTTTAACTTTTTTCAGTGTCTGTAAACAAAACATTGAAATTTACCCATTCCTAATTTTTATAATTTAAGCTGTATATCATTTTAAATTCTAAATTTGTATATGGAATACAGTATTCCATACACAAACAACGCAAAACTGGGGAATTAAATTCTGCATATTGGAATAAATTTACATTTGTATATATTCCAGTATTTGTATTTCTTGTCTATGTAATAATTTTGTTTGAATTCTTTCAGGCACAAAACGATTTGACAGTGAGAAAGCTGGAGATCGTGAGGTGCAGCGTACTATGTTGGAGCTCCTTAACCAGTTAGATGGCTTTTCTTCCACCACAGATATTAAGGTAGGATTGTACTGTTTTCTTTAACAACGTTCCATTATTAATATTCTTTCTTTATTATGATAATTGCTGTTTTACAGTTTCAACATTTTCAACATGTTAGTTAATATACACATGCTAAGATACTGTCTCCAGAACTAGAACATGCAGACATATAATGCCTTACATGTATTAATTGTTATGAAGTATTAATTCAAGTTATATAAAATGTGTTAATTTTGTGTGCGTGTGATTTCTTATGGATTCTAAGACACATGTGTTAGTTGTACTGTATTTGCTTCTTATATTCATTTATCACTCCTTATACTGTACTGTATTATCATTATCTTGTTTCCATTTTTCACAGAGAATATTAGAATCAGTCAAGAGAAAAAATGAGAATATAGTGAAAGATGATTATAGATATTTAAAAAATAGATTAAGTAGTGCTCATCCATTTATTATATCAACTTAATATAGCATCACAGTAGATCATCTTTCATTCCAGCAATAATCCGCAAATGAACGTATTTGCTTCATAAGCCCAGGTGTGCTGTTCTTGTGAGTTGCCGTATACAGTACACAAACACACACACTCCCTACAAACCAGTCATGCACCGTTCTCTCTTACCTGTCCTGTGCTTTCTTTGTTGTTTCCACCACTCTTTTTCCCCTGACATCCTCTCCTACCTGCAGATTTACTCATGTGCACTCTCTTCTCCTGCCAATCATCACCCATCTATTATGCATTCTCAAATCACCATGGTTTCACTCCAATCTTGTAATTTTGCATTGCATTTCTTTCCCTGGCATTTTCATTCCTTAGTCTTGTTTATTCTCCTCACATCTTATTTCTACTACCGTCCTAGATTTTATGCTTATACCACTCTGTCATCTTACACTTTTAACAGCCTTCTCTCACATGTTTCAATCAAATTCTGAAAGTCTTCATCATAACATTGTTTTTAGCCTCCTATAGAATTGTATCATCTACATTTATTGCACCATCATTGTGACATGACATACAATAACTATTTTGATATTCGATGTAGTTATGTCATATGCTGCCTGCTCTTCGAGTTTTTTTTTTTTTTTTTTTTTTTTTTTTTTTTTTTTTTTTTTTTTTTTTTTTGAGATATATACAAGATGCTGCCTGCTCTTCGAGTTCATTCAACACATCTATCACTCATACTCGTAAAGAAAAAATACTTTGCTTCACCTTTTTTTTCATATAATAGTTGTGTTTGAACTAATATAGGTTTCAAAAATTTTTCCTTGTGTTTTTTCATATCCTCTTAGTCTTCTTATATTGTCCCTCTTTCTACTGGATTGTAATGTAGGCAATTCCTTTGCCTGTCCTCTATTTCTACTTCCTCATTTACCAAGTGTGCATTTGCACTCGCCTAGTTCTATTGATCTATTAAAATTTTGATCCAATTTGAATGGATCCAAATTGGCTCAAAATTTTATTGAACATTTTAGAAAGCCAAAATCTCTTTGTGTATTTCACAGGTTATTGCTGCCACCAACCGTGTGGATATTCTTGACCCAGCTCTGCTGCGTTCTGGACGTCTGGATAGAAAAATAGAATTTCCACATCCTAACGAAGAAGCTCGTGCCCGTATTATGCAAATCCATTCTCGTAAGATGAACATTTCATCATGTGTCAACTTTGAAGAATTGGCAAGGTCTACTGATGACTTCAATGGTGCACAGTGTAAAGCTGTTTGTGTAGAAGCGGTAAGTTTGCACCATCATATATTCTATTATCTTTTTGATATAAGCTTTTTATAAAAAAAAAAATTGTATTATTGTACAGGAAGAGTTGGTTAAAATCACATTTTGGACAAAAAAATTTACTGTATCAGTTGTGGTTGAGAAATTTATTTTTCAACCAAAAATGTGGGTTTAATCATCTAATGATTTTCAAGTTAATGGTAAAATTTATCCAGCTTTGGAAAATTAAATTCAAGTGGGTATCTGGGAGTCATGGAGTTGAAGTTAAAAATTATTGAGATTAAAGGACAGAACAGAGCACAGTAGAACTGTTTGAATGGAATAATTAAATTCAAACCCTTCCATTGCAACCTATCTAAGCAATATTTTGTTTTTATCACAATTATTAGTTTTATTAGTGTAAGTGATCATGCTTTTTGTGTACATTTTTATTCTGAATTCACCTGAGGGGGAAGGGTGGGGGTATAATTTTTAATTGTGACAAATAATTTGTAAAAAAAAATGGGTTATGTATGTACTGTATATAATGGTATAAATCAAGAGAAAAATAGATATGTACTTTCCAGTGCATAATAGTTAAATGAGTAACTAGTGTAATATATATAAGTGGAATGAAGCGATGAGTTTTATTAATTAACATCTGTTTTATGACCAAAATTAAGACTTGAAGATGAATGTCACTTTGCTTCCCACATGCAGTACTAAGAATGAGGGATGGTATTTGAGAAGCTTTGTGGCATTTTGTCATGCTATTTAGGAGTCAAAAATAACTGGGATTTCACCATTGAAGTTTGCTTTCAATATATTTCAGGGTATGATAGCATTACGTCGTCAAGCTACTACAGTGACTCATGAAGATTTTATGGATGCCATAATGGAGGTCCAAGCCAAGAAGAAGGCTAATCTCAATTACTATGCATAGAAATCATTGTCATTTTTCATTATTATACTGTATTTTGTTAAAAGAAGCATCAACCGTGATTGATTTTTCCTATAATTTTCTATACATTATATATTTATTCTGTTTAAGCAGGATGACTTCACATGTATTTAAAACAATAAACTTGAAAGTCACCAATTATATAATTATTGTGAATTGATCCTCCATTATTAGACTTGCTGATGTCATCTATTATATAATTAAACGAGCTGAACTCTGCAAAAATGAAGAAGTGGTCTACAAGTTTTTGACATTAAATATTTAAAATGCTGATTTGTGCCAGTCATCAGCTCTTTAGTTCCAGTGTGGAGTAGCTTGAGAGGGCAACAAATATTTCTATTTGGAGCCCTAATGATAGTTATGGTACTGTACTGTATTGGACGTCTCAGAATGAGGTTGAGAAGTCAGCATAAAGTTTAGTTGTTTTTGAGGATTGAATTCTCCTCATGTATCTCAGTGCAGTATTGCAGTTAATGTGACTTTATAGCTACAGGAGAATACTGTACATGGGATTAGGGAAATAATCCTGATTAGTTTACCAAGAGGAAGTGTTGGTGTCAGAATTAGTTACTATGTCCGTAAAACCTTAGAGTACACACAGATCATTATTGAGGAACCTAATATTATTATAATAATAATTGTTGTAATTAATAATTATTACTCTTCCTTCTGCTGGATCATGAAGGAAGCTGACCTCTGATGAAAGGGGGCTGTGACTATCTGTGTGTGGACTTGCGGGACTGACGATGCACGAGCCCCCAGCACATGCTGGGGCTTGTGCAGCCCAAGCTCTGCTTCAGGAGGCTGGGGTCGTTCTTGCTTTTGCTAGGGTGGTTTTCTCTGGCCCTGACCACGATGGTCTCCGGGTTTCGAGTCCTTATGCTTTCTTTTACCAATTTCAAGGTAAACTTCAGAGCTGGAGCCCCTAAGGCAGTTCGTTGTTGCTTTCAAACTCATTCTGACAGTTCCTTGCGACAGCGCTAGAACCAATTGTATTGACGTTTGCCTTCACATTGAAGCCTTTCGGCACCATGGAGAGGGGATGACCTACTACATGGGGTGATAGTTTCTACCACATATCAACCTATCCTGGCTTTGTGCCTTGGAGCGGCCACTCTAGACAGACAACCAGAGCGCAACTCCATAGTCTTCTGAGACCGATGGATACCTACTACTAATAGTACTCCACACCACCTGATTGGTTAAATCAGGCCACATCAAACCATCTGTTTTTTCCAGCGTGCAGCAAACCATCTGTTTACTGCTGTCCACCACAAAGATGTATGTTGCCCTTTGAAAGTTACAGTCGTCCTTGGGTATTTATTCCAGATGAAGCAAATGGGCAATATGTGGGTCTCCAAGCAAGTAAATACACTGGTACTGTGAAGCCACAAGATAAACAATAATTACCAGGAGAAAGCACTATGCCAGTGTGCTTATATAGCACATCAAACAGAAATGAAAAGAAACGAGTTGGTGCAGAACCATTTGGACCATTAAAAATTTTATGCCTGTTAACCCTCTTACAACTTCAAGGTACTGTCCATGAAAGCCAAGTGAAAAAATACATGTACTGTAGATACTTGGATTATTGCCTATCATACACCCCTTCATGATACCTGTAATCTATTAAACAGCCAAGAAAACATGAGGTTTCTCATGCACTGAGGAAAGCAAGTTAAACATTTAACTATATTTTGTGATATCAAACAAAAGTTTGTGTATAAATAAGTCACTAGAATTTACCATTGAATACTTGGCACTGTTCTACTGGATATGTGGTTTATGAGTGTAAAGTGTGAAGAATTGATCACAGCTTGCTGTCTGGCTACTTCAACAACAGCCATTTAATATTTATACAACACTTCATTTCAAATATGTTTTATGCTCTCTCTTTTAGGGTTATAAAAAATGCATAAAGCTAGTACAGTATACTGTATATATACATACATACACAAGTAATTAAGGCAAGTAGGCTTATTGTGTTTAAAAATATATTTAAGCACTGTACATAAGACACAATAAAATAGCTTTACCTACTAGGCCCAGTATTTCAGTTCTTACTAATAGATAAGATACACACAAACATAAAAAACTGGCAGTAGTGGGCTTTCTGTTGAAGAGATTCCATATATCTTCCTGTTTCGTTCTTAGCTCCCTTTCAGAATATTCTTAAAGATTTCTTAATTGATAAAATTCTGCAATTTCTTCAGTGCAAGTTTCCTAAATTAAATCTACTTATGGGTCACATAGTTATTACTGTGTTCCTTCACTAACATCTTTATGCAGAGAATATGTCGTAATAATGTGGCTGAAAACACAACATTTATATTCGCTCTTATTTTCTCAAATCAATTTTGCTTTTAAACCCATCATTATAAGATACCATATCTTGCCCTATATAATTTAGCCAGACTACTAGTGGTGATTGGTTTTTTTAGTAGAAAAGGTAACTATGAAATATATAAAGAAAAATATATGACTGAATATATTAATACTTTAAACAATAAGAGGTTACACTGCCAGTGCAGGGAGAAAAGCATTTTTATTACATCTTCAAACACAGTAGGCCTCTGGTGTGTGTGCGTGCGTGTACGGTATATATACATGCACACACATTCCTGGTTCGATTCCCTGCCAAGGCAGAAACAAATGGACATTTTCTTTCACCTGATACATCTGTTCAAGCTGTAAGTAGGTACCCCGAGAGACAACTACTACGGCCTGCTTCCTGGGGATGCGTATGTGTGTGTAATTACCTAAGTGTAGTTACTGGATGAGATATTTACTAATAAAGGCCTAGGAAGAGTTTAAAATTTTGAATAAGTAAATATTTTCTAAACACTTGGTAATTAGTTATAACATTTTGGCCCAAGGCCAAGTATGCACTTATTCCATGAAATCACAATTTGGTTGCTAGACGGCAAATTCTTTTCATCAAATCAAGGATTTTTGTTAAATTCACACTAGAAAAGTTAAGGATACACTGTGCAGTATTTTATCATCACAAAAATAAGGTAATGATGAATTCCAAAGACTGAACAGTACAGCAGAGTACATCATATACAGTACAATATGTAAAATGAGTCAGTAGTTATCCTAAAATAATTTTAGGACAATTATTATTTGCTTCCATTTTACATGTCTGGAGAATTTAGAGTGGTGTGGCTAATAGTTAATACAGTACACTATTACAAATCTTAAAAATAGTACTCTATAATTAAAGAATCTGAGCAAATAACATGTCCCTCAAATTCTCATGCAAGCTAGTTAACTGTATGTTACACAAGATGAACTCATGGTTAGTTTAAATAATAATTGCAATAAGGTACAATGCTTTCCATGTTGAATTGACAGCCAATATACAGTGTTTGAGCTAGGGACAGCATGAGCTACGGTTTTTTCCAGAAATGATTTACTACAGGATTTGCAATTTCACAATCTTTCTGGATTTATTAGCCAGACAAAGATTCCTATGAGTGCATTATAATACCAGTGAAAATTTTACACCCATTAATAATTGCCTGCTGTCATAAAATTAGGGGACACATACTGTACTTACTGTACAGTATTTTTGCACAATTGAAAGTATTGTATAAAAATTTCACAGGATACAGCCTGGCTCAAACCCTCCAGAGAAAATATGAAAATGTGGGACACATTTCCCATCAGCCAATAGTTTAATTCACAGCACAAGTTGGTGTAATCCCAATTAGAGTTTTCAACTATTTCCATTTTCGTTACTTTTACCTAAACTCTCCACTGATTTTGCAATTTCACATTCTTGATTTATTGGAAGTATAACATCTTTTTCTTCCTCACTGTCATCATTTACATCGTTTTCAGTGCCAGTAACTTTACCTGTGGCACCTTTTCTGGCTGGAATAACAGAAAGGAAAGAGTCCTCCCAGGACTTTCCAGTGGTAACCCCAAGCAAAATCCTGTACACGTGATCGATAGTTAATACTTTACGAGTCTTCATCTCAATAAAATCATCTATTGGAAGTTTAGCATGACTGATACCTTTCTCAACAGCCAGATTAAAGCAAAGTCCTTTGTGACCATTATGATCTACCAGTCCACCAATAACATAGACTTTTGTAACATCAAGAGATGTGATTACATTTTCTGACTCACTAGTAAGGTAAACAATCTCTTCCTTTGGAAAAATATCCATGTAAAACTCAGGCTTGAAAAAAATATCCCAATTCTTGTAACCATTTTGTTTAGCCATAACAGCTTCACATTTTCCCTCAAAGCTGGTTACATAAAGCTGCATTGGATCTGACACCCTCCTGTTAGCACTATAACACCGGCTAATTTGCTTGACACACTGCGACAGGTGTTTTTCTATCATAAGATCATCAAATGACATATCAATGGCAACTCGTTGTTTACAATTACTAGCAGCCATAGTCACCTCCTTAAGCCGTTTCCTGATGTTGCCACATGGTTCACCAGCTGCACGTTTGGCCTCCAGGCGCTGACGCAGTTTTTCTTTTTCTCTCCTTTTCCGTTCATGTTTAGAGTCAATCCATTTTTTACGTTTATTAAACTTTTTCAGCTGTCTTTTAGACAGTTTTTTGGATTCTGTTCCATTATTTGTGCTGATCAAGTCTTTGGTCTTTTCTTTGGCCTCTTCATCCTGGCATGTTTCACTGTCCTCATTTAAATTAGCAGCAGTTGTTTCTTCTTCAGTTTGTTGCCTTATGCCTGTCGAGTCATCTGATTCACTGCTCTCCATTTCTAGTAAAAAGATCTGTAAATGATAAGAGATAATGTTAGAAATGTTATATTCTATTATTGAAATCAAATTTTAATAAAACATGTCAATGCATTCTTCAATTAATAAACTGCAAACAGTAAAAGTACATTAAAAACACAATGAAATATAATTGTTTCCAAAATGCTGCCAGGTTTAAATATTACCTAAAACTCACAACTTAATGTACATACAGTATTACCAATGTGAAATTTGTTTTGGCATTAACAAAAAATTACAAAGAATTATTCACATATGCAACTCTAAGAAATGCTGAAAATAAACTACTGTATACAGCTACCAGAAGATGGATTCTCATGCAAGACTGCTAAAAGTGAATAGTAGGAAAATAAAATGAATATTGTATTGGCTCAGATGTAAGCTTCTCCCTGTAGACTACATGCAACATTATTTGTAAAGAAATTTTCAAAGAGAATTTACTAGTGGGGGGGAAGGTGTACCTATACCTAAGGTCTTTCACCTCCTGCCTCTTCCTTTCTTCACCCCAACAGAACATTGTTTCCATAAACGAAAAAAAACTTTGTTCATCGTTTATGTTTTACCTTCATGACTTTTATTACAAACTTGTACATGTTACTATATTTTTTCATTCTTTCCCAATCTTTACCTGTTAAATTTCTGTTTCAGCAGTTTATAAACATAGTACACACTGCTTTCTTGTCCTTCACTGGCTCTTATCATAAAATTTCCCTTGATGCAACAATAATACATGAAAGTAACATCACACACCTTATACAAAGTTCATATAAAAGACACCAATTTTTGTATATATATACATATTCAATAGGATTAGATAGATTAGGTTGTGTAAAAAGAATAGCGATGACATAGCACGGCTGCCCAATAAACTCGCCCCTCGGGGCAAAATTAAAAAAAAAATAGCACGGCAAGACTTGGGGCCCTTCTTGATCCCTAGGCGGTAATATAACATATAAAAATTGGCAGTTCTTTATCAGTATACGGTACTATTTAGCAGAAGATAACTGTTTAACATTATTTCACGTTATTTAATGTGTTTTGGAGAGGCCAGTATACAATGCCTTATTCCACGGCCCCCTTGCCCTCAGTTCCAAGGTAATGGATTCCAACATAACTACGCCCATCAATAACTCACAGATTTGTCTCCAGGTTTCCACAATGCAGTTAGTGAGATATAACAACGGTGGAGCCGTCTGAGGCCACGAGACTTGCCACCCTTCACGTGCTGTTGACAGTGTTGGCGTTCTTGGCAGCAATCCTTGACAATCCGCTCTTGCGTTCGTCACGCTTCCATCCGTCTGGCCGGGGATGTAATTGGTGATAATCTCAGTTTCAGTTGATAAATATGAAATGCTTCACGTTTCCATAGGTTTTAGGTCCAAGACCAGGCCTTGGAACTGAGAAATTATTCAGGCATATTCAGACATACAGCTAGAGTGGTCACTCTACACTTACAGCTGAAACAATTATATTGCAACAGACATTTTAGATATATATATATATATTCCCAAATTCATGAATTAATTACTCAACTGGTTCCAGTACTAACCCGAGCCCTGAAGACAAATTTAAACTAAAATAATGCTGAAAAGACCCTACACAGAACACAACTAGTGCTGAAATTATAACAAGGCTACTATATTACTGAAATATATACATAATTGGCTTTATGGATGATTGATTATTTTCTACCACAGACTGCCATTCAATTAGAGGCACCCATATACTATTTGTTAAGATAGAGGTGACATTGACATATTTCCATCTAGGGGAAACTTTCTCTTGGTCCAGTGATTTTCTGAATAGAAGTTTCAGTGTTTGACAGAGTTCGTAGGCCAATTCATTTGCGATTTGTAATTAAATTCCATCCATACCTTTAGGGTCCTTAAGTTTGTTTAATGTTCTTCCTGATTATGTTTCACGTTACAGAAGTACTTCTTAATTCATCCTCTTCACTTGCTTCAAACATTTGTGTGGGTATTGGTACGTCGGTTAGAGAACGGTTACGCTACAGTGGGGTAGTGAGAGCACTCAACAACAGATATTTAAAATGCTTTTATAAGTTCAAGTTATAATATCAGTTTACAATATTAGTGTTTGTTAAATACATTTGTATGTGCTTAGAGCAAAGTTTCACCACTATTGCAAGACAACATTCTTAGTGGGTGATTTATTATTATATAATTTATTTATATAATAATAAATCACGTCAATTATGGTTGGCGTTCGGTCAGATCAGATACCCATTTGGATCGGGCCAGTAAATGGATGGGTGACCACATGGACACCGCCACGCCCTCAACTTGACCTCGACGAGCGACTTCCTATACTGGCATAGGGTATATATATAGCCCCTCGCCCTACTTAATGAAAAAATTAACAAATTGTGAAACTAGCTTCACAAGATTGTTACTTGCTTAGCTAAATGAACTATGTGACACAGTTCCTGAACCCATTACGTGCCTCTGTAACCCTTTCCACCACCGCCCACGGCATAGATATGGCATAATAAATGATTAAACTAATAGTTAAGTTCGCACTGGAATACTAATGAATGTAAAATGTAGTAAAGGAATGTTGATGTAGTGCTAACTTATCAACGTGTGAACACAGAGGTAGTTGTGTTCAGCAAGGAGCGCAGGAACCCCGCGCATCAACAATATCCCAGCCTGAATCACGCTCTCAACACAAAACTCATTAAAGAGAGAGCTGACTTCAACAAAATCTCCGCTACTCAGCAGGAAGGTATCTCTTGACACAATTTCTTGATGCTCTCATGTTTCTAAACATGGTTTTCCTTGTTTACCAGTTAACTGTTGTTGTCGTAGAGTAGTTTGAGGACGCGCCATGCTATTGCCCACACCATACAACCTTCCTGCACAACTCAGCATAGAGCCATATATAGCAGCCAACCTCACATATGGTTAAATTATTGCTCTTGTGGTCAGATGTTCAGATGAACAAATAGTCTCAGTATAACGTTAGGTCTGACTACCAGGTCTCTGTTGTCAGAGGATGATTTTAGAAATGAAAACATATAAACATATATATGTAGACCAAACCACACACTAGAAAGTGAACGGACGACGACGTTTCGGTCCGTCCTGGACCATTCTCAAGTCACAATCGACTTGAGAATGGTCCAGGACGGACCGAAACGTACCCACATTTTGCTTCCAGTAGATGAACGACATATGAGATTCAGAAACAAGTAGTGTATTGTGAGGACTAATAATAAACAGAAGCTCCCCTATGACTCTGTAATATCCCCATTGGCCAAACTATTATGTATTAACGACAAGACCTACCATTAATGTATGATGACTTACTGTAAATATGTAGCTCTTGTAATAGCACTTTCTCTGTAACTAGCTGACATTGTATCTATAAGGTGTGAAGGATTGAAGAAATTGTTTATGTAATAATCTAAGATGAGGTATGATAAAGACCTTTTGTGCCCTCTGTAATGCTTTTGCGCTACCGCTCACAGGATGAGTATGGGGTGCACAATAAACTAGCCGCCTTCGGCGGCAACAATCAAAGTCGTCGTCCCTTCACCTTCTAGTGTGTGGTCTGGTCAATATATTTCAGCCACGTTATTGTGACTCCTCGTCTGCATATATACATGTATATGTAACATGACCCACATGTCTTGCACAGTATAGTGTTTGATGATATAATAATAATAATAATTTATTATGTCAGGGGACAGGAAGCCAGGGTGAATTCATACACTCATATGGTCACGTTTGGGTATTTATTACTTTTATAATATAATAGTTGGCCAAGGTGGATCTCCATAAGTCTAAGCGCAGGCTTCCTGTCCCCGACAACGGAATTACACTTCATAAATATCACATAAATTCATTAATCATTGCAGTATGACTTATTGCCTGGCATGAAAACTATGTGATCAAATTATAATCCACATACCATAATGATAACAAAATAATCACTGCCACAGACACACAATAATGATCCTTACCATGTCTATTGTGATCATTTCAATAATAATCATCAGCATAATAACCACATTATTTAATAATCATCACACCATAATCACCATACGGCCATCAGCAGACATTATAGTGCCAGGGGTGAGGGTGAAGGCCTCACATGCATGTATATATATACTTCCTGAATCTTCTTACCAGCCAGCCTTCCTTGCTGCCCCGGCGTCTGTAAACTGTTTATCACCAGCTCACTGTTAGCGGCGCCACGCACGTCCCCTGGGAAGGACTTCTGTCCTCGACATTCAACACGAGAAAAATAATTCCTATATTTCCTGAGTTTTCTGCGCGCCTTTTGCCAACACGGCCAACAACCCTCTCTTTCCCTTTACCCAACATTGTGAACTTCCCTATCTTTCCTAAATGTGACTAACAGTCTTCCTACTATTCCAAGTATGGCCGACAACACGTACTACTCTTATCAGCTTGTGACTGGCAGGAACCACTTGAAAAAAGGGCGCGAATGTATCCGTGGAAAAGGAGGATGATAACTAACCCTCCGGGAGGAAATTTTTTTTTTAAATTTACAAGGCATTCGGCGATTGGCTGATCTTCACACACTGTGCTACCATCTAGCTCGGGAGCCATTAGACCCACGCCACTCTAGCAACGTATGCACAACAGACGCCCATTATATTCTTGATTGTCCGTTGATTCATGTATATAGAAACACTGAGATAAGGACTGTTCCTGAACAAATAGCCTGGATGTGTCACAACGGAAAGGTTGATGATATTCTTGAGAGATATAAGAATTTTGCACCAAGATTGTAATATTTTGTTGAATTATCTGCAGGTGTCTTGCAAATTGTCTATACAGTATACCTAGGTCATAAAAGTATTTGTGTGTACGTCTGATACCATACTACTTGTGAAGGAGGAAATGTATATTTTTACCTCTCAGAATGTTTGGTAATGTGTTTATTTGTGATGTGTGTCTATGTATATATTAACACGTTGTACTGAATGGGGTGAGAATAGCTTGAGCTACCTCATCCCTTTGTGTGTATTTTACCTCAATAAACTTATTTCAATTTCAATTTCAATTTCAACAGACGCTTCTGTTTCTCTGGCACAGGTGTAAAACAGCTTAGCGGGAATCAGTAAAAAAATCCTAGTGATTATTCACAAATGTAAAACTACGAACAAATATAGCAGTTTCCCATGAACCTGTAGCCAGAGTGCAGCGCCCTATGGACCTGTATAAAGATAAGACAGCTCTTTAAAATTCAACAACGTAATGAAGGCTAGAAAGATGTCCTTCCTCCTGTAAGTTGAGATGCAGGAGATGTACTATATTCATAATGCAAAACAGGAAATGCTATTTGGATGCACACGGGAGATGGAGCATTGCGTACAATGTAACTAACTGGACGAAGATTACTCCAGACTAGAGGAGGGGAGTGGAGATAGATGACGAAGAATCTATTAAGCCACACGGAAGCAGCAGCACACTAGGAAGAGCCGTCACAAGGGCAGCTGGGGTCTGAGGCACCAGGAACCCTCCTTGCGGTCTCTCCTCGCAGATCTCTACTGCATTCTTGGTTCCTTGTCTGGTGTCTGGCGTTGGAGGTGCGTGCATCGATTGCAAAGAAATAAACATGGGTGATAAGAACTTCTAACGGAGCCAGGCTTTTGTTTCGAGCGTGCGGGTTCCGGGGTAGCATGGCGCAGTGTATGATTAAGAGCACAGGTGCGAAGAAAAACCATTTATTGCGCTTCTTGGTATATCCGGTAGAGTGTGCTGGGACCCGGTGTGGCAGTGCTCAGAGAAGGCAAGTCCTAACACCACCTGCCATAGAGGATCTTGGGTCCTGTCCAACACTACCAAATTCTCAAAAATTTTAACACTAGTTTTCATACTGAAGATCAAAACACATTATAGTATATATGAAGATAAAGCTCACTACCACAATCCACAGTACAAAACATGTTTTTTGGGTACAGCAGTATAATCTGTATAATTTTTGGAGGACAGGTTGGAACAAAATATATAAATAGTAAAGGACAACTATATTGACAATAACAGACAAAATTGCTGGTATTACAAATAATAATAACAATGATATATTAGTAATAATATTAGTTATTGATGCTATCAGTAAAGAAGTGGAGTGCTCCGAGCCACACAACACCAACTACCAGAATATGGAGGAATACACGGATAAAATTTAGTGAAGCCTCTTGTAAAAAATTGCAATTGATTCTGGACAATTTTTTTCCTTGAGAGGGACCCATGAGCCTAAGCTTGACCCTGCAAACTTAAACAAGGTGAATATACACACACATAATCAACAAAAGTTATAC